GGCATTGAAGGCTTTCTGCCCATACCTGTTATCCCCTGTCGAGCTGACTGTGGTCTTTACCAACCACAAGAACTTGGAGTACTACTGAGAGCTGCAACAGCTCACCCCTTGCCAAGCTCACTGGGCCGCTATGGTCCAGTCCTACCCCATTCATTTCTCCTGGCAGGCTGGTTGCCTCCAGGTCCCCGCCAACACTCTTTCTTGCAAAAGCGAAGCCATGGAGCCCGCCCTGGTGGCCACAGTCCTCCCCCCGGACCTTTGGCTTTCGGAGGGGGTGGGTCCCCAAATTCACCTTGTTTCACCTTCGTTTTCCATTACAAAACTACAAAAACAGTTAAAAATTAACCGACTCTGCAGAATCAGATGCCTTCCTGCCCGTTTATCACACTCAAAGTCAAACTCCAAGCCTTATTCCCGCCCATCTGAGGAAAAGCCAAAGGGGAATAGGCTGCCTGACACTCACCCTTCTGAGGAACCCGTCAAAGGAGCCAGAGGAGTATATGCAATATCAGCTGACCTGTATGAGTGTGTCAAGAATGATGTGTCAAAGGACTCTACAGGCCCAGAACCAAAGGAAAACATCACTACTGCCGAGGACAGAACAAAACAGTTCGGAACTATGCACCTCTACATCCCTCCTGAGCACAGACAGCACTGTATGTGAATTTACCATGATCATGAGTCCTCCGGCCACCCTGGACAAAAGGTGATGTTCACTAAGATGAGAAAAGAAGTCTGGTGGGAAGGTATGGGAAAGGATATCAGGGCTTATGTTGCAGGATGCCCAGTGTGCCAAACTACAAAAGTTGTGATGCACCCTCCAACTCCCCCAGTCGTCCCACATGAAACCCCTAAAACCATGTTCCCGTTCCAGCAAATCTTGATGGACCTCATCACAGATCTCCCTGTCTCGGGAGAACAAAGATACAATTCCATTCTCATGGTTGTCGATCAGGGGCTTACAAAAGCCACCCTGTTTGTTCCGTGTCATAAAGCAATTGACTGCATCAGGATCACCCAGCTCTTCCATCAGTTCATCTATTCCAGATACGGAACCCCAGAGTCAGTCATCTCAGATCACAGACCCCAGTTCGCGTCATCATTTATGAAGGAACTGTACAAGGCTATAGGGGTCAAAGCCAAGCTTTCGTCGGGTTACCACCCCCAAACTAACAGAGAAAGTGAGCGAGTAAACCAGGAAGTTGAGGGATATTTGCAACTTTACTGTTCTGAGTTCCTGAACTCCTGGTCCACTAAACTTCTGTCTGCCAAGTTTGCCCACAACTCCCAGGTACACTCCATTCATCAAATGATGCCTTTCTCGCTACTCCTCGGATATGACCTGTCCCCTTATCCTGAAGTACAGCTCACCCCTGTCCCCTTGGTTGATGAAAGATTAGAAAGGCTGGCTTCAAGTCAAGACATGGCTATACTTGCACACAAGAAAGCACAAGACCTGATGTGTTTGTGCTCAAAAGGGTCTTATGTTGCGCCCAAGGTCAGAGATAGAGTCCTCCTCAATACTGGACATCTCTGAATCAAAAACCAGTGTGACAAGATTGCGCCCTGACGTCTCGGACCATTTGTAGTGACTCAGGTTGTGTCACCAGTTGCCTTCTGATTGGACCTACCACCAATGTGGAAGGTACATCCTGTGTTCCATGCATCCCGAATCTATCCTTTCACCAAAAACAATACTTATGGGACTGTGCCCACAGCCCCTCTCCCCAAGTTAGTCAATGATGAAATTGAGTGGGAAGTTGAATCAATCCTGAATCACAAGGTTGATGGTCGCAGAGGTAAGCGATGGTATCTGGTCAAGTGGAAAGGTTTCCCCCATTTGTCAAATATGTGGGAACCTGAGGAGCACATAAAAGATCACACCTCAGATGTCCTAGACCAGTACAAGCTTGCTCATCACCTCAGAAATTAAATGGACTCCCCTTGCTCTGTCAATACCAAGAACAACTATGCCGACCTCCCCCTTGCTGACAAATCTGTTTTCAACCCCACAGATGACAGGCTCATCCCCCCCATCGTTACCTATGCACCAGCCTCTCCCACAATGTCTCCTGCTGGCTTTCATGTCTCTGGCTTCTCCTCACCCGTCTCTCAACCCCACACACTATCACCCCCTGTCCCCAGGACTCATGGAGCATGCCCACTCCAGGGGTTCTTGATCAAATGCATCCTGGTCCCACAGGCCAGAGTCTCCAGTAGTGGGGACAGTAACCAAAAGGGAAAGGGTAAGGCACACCTTGACAATGACCCCGATAGTCCAGCAGCCCCTGCCAGTAGCTCCCATGCTCCCGAACCTACTGACCTTCACTCTGCCTTCTCCACCTACTCTGACAGCACTCAATGTGCAGCCCTTGACCTCCTCACAATGGCCACCACTGCCCAGCTTGACCAGCAACGATTACCAGTCTCAGCAAGTGATTACCTGGACATTGTTAGGGCACTTGACATCTTCCACGACAGGGACAACATTGACAGGTGCTTACCAGAACAGGTTGAGTATTTTGGGATGTTGTCTCAAATCTACCGAGCATCAGACGTAATCAATGGGCTCATGTCAAAGATCCACACTCAGAAGTTGAGTGGCATGGTGCCACTGTCAGAGGTAATCATGATCGACATGTTGGAGAAGGCTTCGTTGGACCTTACCAAGGCTGTAACTGGCGGAGCCTATCATCACTTACGCAATCAGCAAATTGGCAAGTTCCTGGCGCCACCTGCTTCTCGCATCCTTGATCACATCAAACCAAAGCAAGAGGAACCATCGGCTTTGAGGTTGAAGGGAGAGGTTTCAGATCAGGAGAAGGAGAAGCAGTGGTGTGCCATGGAATTAGGGTTTGTCAACTCCAGAGAACTGTTTAAAGAGGTTGGTGCTCAACTTGGCACGGGAACTCATAATTCTGCTTGGGAGGTTTTACTACAGGATGCATCATGGGCCAGAATGCATAAACACTACCATAATGCTGTCCACTCCACCGATCCTGTCCCTCCAACTCCCTTCGTCCCCGTGCCTTCTGATCAACTTTGGTTCTACCTTGGTGGGCAGTCTCCCATCCCTCCCAACCATGTCTTGTACCAGCATGCCTGTTACCAGTGCCATTACCTGGGACATTGGTTGTGCCGTAACAGATGTGGCTCCCACTATACTCCAGCCCTCAAGGAACTGCTGTCTCCATCACCACCATCGCCCATCACCAATCAGACATGTTCCCACATCTATACTACTTGCCAACCCTTATCCACCCACCCCACCAACATGGCTTCTGGTCCATCCTCAAGGGTCTGAGGACCTTAGAGGGGGGGTGATGTTATGCTTCTGTCAGGGGTCTTTCCTTTTTCAGCTTCTCTTGGTCACGTGCATCACATGCCTCATTGCATCTCTAATAGTCATCGCCATCCTAGGGGCTCAAATGCTCCAGGGAACTTTTGGATCTCCTGCTATCAAGGTATTTCCAATACCTGTCAAGACCGCATTGCTGCTGTGATCCAGTACTCCACCGCCCTCTCTGATGGACGACTTGTTTCTTTCTTGCTCTGTTTGACTCGTTTATGTTGCTCACATGTTGTACTATAGTTCCGGTGTCAGGCTCCTCACTGTGCATTGATTGCGCCAGCTGGTACAGCCATCATTGCCTCCCTACCCCCATCTTTGACACTGTATGACTCTTGTTTATTTTCACTGATGGTTCTGTTGACTACTGCAGATACACATCGCGACACGTCGGTCATGACTGCTACAGTACTCGTACTTAGGAGTATATAATCCTACATACTTCATCCTGTATCTGCAGTTTTTCAATAGCTTGCAACTGAGCTTCATCCCTTCACTTTATCCTTGTTCTCTCTCTGCATAAACAACCTCAGGGACTCACCAGTAGACAGAACCTCTGTCAGATTATCACAATAACTCAGCCATAGGGGTTATGACAAGTTCGGCCTGTAGTCTCCCACCTCACGTGCTTTGTGCCTATTCCATTTGAAGAAGTCACCACGCTCGGGCATAACAAAAATATTGTTACTCACCATCTTCAAATTGCACACTGCATTGATTCCACTCAATGATGACAGTGACAAGTGCCTCTGTTATGGAGAGGTTGAGGTCATGAGACTTTGATGGGAATGGGTTAGAAAGTGCATGTGCAGCCCTGCATTCTCGCTTAGCATCTTCGAGACAGTCCTTCCATACTGCCTTGTAAAATCTCAGTTGTGAAGGCAATGGGCCCTCATCCTTAGCTTTCTTGGAGTTACAAGGGGTTCTGGCATGCTGAGATACTTCGTTGATCAAGTCATGTGCAAGGGTCAGAAGATCATGATTGGGAACAGGACAGCTGTTAGTGCAATGGTGGCATTCAAGAACATCAACAACAGTGCCACATTGGGAACCCTAAAATATCAATCTGAATAAATAAAGCTAGCAGGAATGGCATTTTCATACCTCTGGCTGAGCCTTGTCCTTGGATTGTAAGCTTCACAGAGCCACATCATCATCCTCATCACATGAGTACTGAAACTCATGGTCAGGGGGTAAGGAATGGTGGCAAATAGGATTGCTTGTCATTGTTTCTTGGGAGAAGCCTAACAAAGAACATTGAGCCAATACCATAATAACCTCTGATGTGTACCAGGATGAGTTGATTGCCTAAGATTTGTTGCACCCCATCCAAATGCATTGTCCTCATCTTTGTCAAACTCAGGGAAGTCTTTCCCCCAACAACTGCAAGCATGGCAGCCTTGGGAGTGTTGGCAATATAACCCACAATTGGCATGAAACAGTACCACATGTGCCCCAGAGAATCCAGTAACATAATGCCAAGTTTGGCAGCTTGCTTGACAGGTTCAAGTATGATATCCAGGCATTCATGAATGAGCCTATCTTCAAGGAGGCCATGCATATGCTTGTTCTTGTGCATGAACTTGGGGACAGGGAGGAGAGCAGCAAGCATAAATGAGTTGGATGACAATTTTAGGTGTGTGGACATCTTGATATTTGCTAGGCTGATGAGAAGTGGATGAGCAACTCTACCACCACATAAAGTAGTAATATTCATCTTGTCTGAAGAAAGTATCATGCCAAGAAGAGTCACTCTGCTCAGAAGCTGTGACTGGGGTACATCAATTGAATAAAAGGATCTATAACTTGCAGTGGAAACATACCTGCATATGCCAAGCATCATCAGCAGTCATCCACTCTGTATACACCCTACAAAGCTTCTCAGGCATTTTGTATACATGCCTCAGAATGAAATTGAGCTGGTCAGAGAACAAAGGGTGGTTGAGGAGCCACACAATGCATTCCAGGGGATTGCACCAGTACAAGTGCACAGGGTGTTTGGTTGGCTGCAAAGGAGTAATCTCCATTGAGCACCAGCACAGCCTGCCAGGGAGTAACTCAGCCAGCCCATGAAGTGCTCTGGCTGTATGAAAGGAAATCTTTAGTAGCTGTATCTGGCACATGTCAATAATGATCTTCGGAGAGAATAGGGACAGGCTTACAATTGACAATGACAAGAAAGAGTCTATAGCTCTCATGCTCAGGCCTGAATGAAGTAACCACAATGCCAGCTCCCATTCATTGTGGGAGTTGAAGGGGTAGTACAGATTTGATGGCCATAGGTTGCTGAACTGGTCACCATTAAATTTGTCCATAAATGTTGGGCCAAGTCCAAACATTTTAGCTGTGCCCTCGAAGTCATCTGTGGTTGGCCCCCACATGTCAAATGCCATATGAACAAAATCTGGGTAATTGTGAGTTGCATAGTCATCAGGGTCAGTGCTCATTGGGACATCTTCTAAGTGTGTTGTGTGTTGAGAGTTATGAATGTTCAAGCTTGAAGGCTGGAGAGACTCATGAAGGTGGACTAAGTTATTGACCCAGGTATTTGTTGGAGATATATTCTCCCCTGTGTTCTGCTCACTTTGGTGCGATGTTTGGGTGCTTACATAATCACCTTAGAGCGCACATTTTACAGTAGTTTATTCACTGTTCCCTCAGTAGCTTGTTGCACTACTGAGGGTAAGCTCACTTTCACTACCAGTATTATACTCACTGATGTCCTGTAGATACCTACAGGTTGGTCTAATACATCAGTAGCTTGTTGCACTACTGAGGATACCTACAGCATCCTTCAAAATATTTTCAACATTAGTGTTCTGGCCAGTGAGCTGCAGCCATCTCTTGAGTCCAATGGTATGCTATGCTCGCTCTTTTCTTTTCGGCCACTATTTTACTTATGTTGGATCTTGATAGGCACAGTTATTGAGCATGCTGGTAGTTGAATACTCACCATTCATCTAGACTAGTACTATCCATTACTTTCCTGTACTTATCATAAAAATGCTGTATGTTATGTCTGTGTGTTGTTGCCTTCATGCATAGGAACAAAGTTAGATCTACCAAGTTCTCTACTACAGTGGGAATCTAGGTTGCTGTATTAGCTAGGTGTGTCTGTTCCCTTGTATGCTAGGTAGCTATTGGTCTTTGGATTGCTGGTATCACTGGTGTGGCTTACTCAGGTGCTATGAGTTGCTTGGATGCTGGCCACTACTTTGGGCAAGTCTGGTGTAGTCTACTCTGGCACTATGAGTTGCTAGGATGCTTGACATTGCTTTGGACTAATATGGAATTGTGCAAATACTATGGGCAGCTATGAGTTACTAACACATTTTTGTGTTTTGCTGATGTGGCTGCATGTGCTGGGACCGTGTTACTGGCACTGATTCCTTGAGCTCTTGGCTCTAACCCTGTCAATGAGTATGTGTGTTATGTCTTATGTGAGGTGGGTACTAACTGAGTAGTCATCAATCCAGAGGGCCTTTGAGCAGTTGGGCCCATATTTCCTTGCCTTTGCTGTGTTACTCTGTGCTTGTTTCTTATTTGTGCTGTTCATTGCTACACCCAGTGTCTGCTCTGTCACCATACATATCTACCAATATTCTCCTTTTTTACGATGACTTTGGAACATGAGTTCTGGGTCAATTTTCATGTGGAAAGAGCAGAGAATTCTTGTTTACAACATACACTGACAAGGCAATTAGTTAAACGTCTTCAAGATCGAATATGAAAGAGACTGATAAGTAAGAGGAATCATCATGTTTCAGAGCCATGGCAATTTTACAATTCTTTTGAATTTCCACTCGACATACATGTATTGAATAGATTCCAGGTAAACCTGTGCAAATGGCAATCCAGACGAGAATGAGAACACCGCAGGTGACTTTGAATTCAGGGTGTAGTTACATAGGGCTGCACGGTTTCCAGATAGTTAGTTCGAGATAGGAAAGAAAAGAGGTTCTCGTACAACACGCCACATGGGCCATTTAATACGATAGGGAACAGGCACGGGTGAAACTATGGAAAGCCGGACAATCACGCTCCCGAACGGGCAAGTTCCCCCGGTGGAATGCCGAAGTGCATCAAGAATTTCGGACGGCAGTACTTAAAACGGAAGGGGGACACCAGACACTGCATGAATGCAGAAGTTCGTTACGCGGTAGGTTAGTAGTTTTGTAGTTTTGTAGTACACTGAAGACGGAGCATATCTCTGCAACGGCGGCAGCCAGTGCGATGTATAATGCACCATCTGAACGCCTTCAATGAGTAGTGCATGATCCCAAGAAAGTGAGAGGAACGACCGCAAAACACATGGGACACGTGAGATAACATCCTGGAGGAGGGAGAGAGGAGACCTTCGAACGGCAACGGCTGGGGCGACTGACATGAAACTCTGGGATGTGGTAGAGGACTCCCAGGAAATCAGAGAGAAAGAGGAAACACACCAATCAGATCACCCGATCCTGAGTTATACGCCAAACCGCTTCAAAACCCTTCAAACACAAAAATGGGAATATCTCGGCAACGAGTGCACGGAATTGATGAACAAGAGCACCCCGGAAATAAGTCGGTGAGGCAAATTTGTGGCTCAAAGAGCGAGAGAAGCGGCGTAGAGATGCATGAGGCACGACGAGAGGACTTCAAGGGTGGGCCTTGCCACCAAAATGCAAATATCTCTGTAACTACTGCACCAATCAGAACGATCCAGGCATCGACAGGGAGCCTTCATTGAGTAGTACAAGCCTGCAAAAAGGCGAGAGACGCGTCGGAGAAACGAGCGAGGTACGGCCCAAGACGATGGGGATAACTCCGGGAAAGCGAACAAGCGGGTCACAACCTCAGGACAACGGCTACGGTGGCCAATACGAGCCCCAGGAAGGTGGTAGAGTACTCATAGATGAACACGGAGAAAATGGAACCACCACAATCAGACCATTGGATCCTGAGCTACGCACAGAACTGTCCCACTGCCCTCCAAACACGAAAACAGTGATATCTCAACAACGGCTGCACGGAAGTAGACAAAAGAGGCCTCCCCAGGGAGGTCTCGGCAAGGGGAACGAGCGGGCCGAAAAGCAATCGGAAAGGCGCAGGACTGCGTGAGCTATAACTCCAGAATCTTGAGGGTGTGCTTCGTGCAAGGTGCAGAAAAACTCTAGAACTGCTGAGCACAGCACAGTGGGGTTGACCACGGTACCTAAGAAAAAAATGCAGGCACATCGGAAAAACATGCTCACACCTGGGAGTAGTATCTTATCTGAAACAATTTCATGACCAAAGCCAAATGTTATTGGCATGCGAAGACACAGGGTTGGTTGAGTAGAAACAACTGGGTAAAGAGCAGGTACACATGTCGAAGCAACAAGAAGTAAGAACACCATGACAAAATACAAGAGGGAGAAGGGGGCGTATACACAGCACATTCACAGAATCGATACATCTGTGGCACTTCTCGAACAAAGTAATTGTGGACTCGACATTCCCTTCACTGATGACATCGATGATTGTTCGTAGTTTACTCCATTTAATAGTTTTCTATGTAAGCTGAGTCACGACGCGTGACATAGAATGTAGCCCATGTCCGAGTAAGCGAAGTGGGCTTTCGCACCCGCCCACCACTCCCTCTCTCAGGTCTAGCAAGTGGATCATTCGATATTGCCTGCAGGCAGAGTGCTGACATCAGTCTCCGAGCGAAGAGTAGACCTGTTCGGTACCCATGCCGCCCTCACAGCTCACTAGCACTCATCGCCCTTAGATTCAGTGCCTCCTCCGGGCCGGAAAACCCTTTGGGTTTTCACCCATCCCCCTCAGTCGCTTGTAGACACACCCCTCTCCCTTGCAACCTGGTTAAAGCACCAACACTAGCACACACTCACTCTCTCCATTTCCCTTTTCTATCAGCGTAGCATCGGAGTACATGGACATGCATTTTTTGCGAGAGGCCTCTGAACTATGGCACGACAGACTTTCACGCTTCCGCACATTTACTGCGTGACGAACTTCTGCACTACAAACTTGTGTACTACAAAACTACGAAACTACTAACTCACTGCATGACGGACTTCCACACTATGGACTTCTTGCATGACGAACTTCTGCATTTCATAGAGTGTCTGGTGTCCCCCTTCCGTTTTAAGTACTGCCGTCCGAAATTCTTGATGCACTTCGGCATTCCGCCGGGGGAACTTGCCCGTTCGGGAGCGCGATTGTCCGGCTTTCCAGGATCATATCAAGTAATCAATACCGCGTATTAATGTTCCGACCTCTGCAGCTGTATGCCCCTTAAGTGCTACAAAGTGCATCCCGCCAATAACCATGGTACGGGCTTGAACGTTTGAATCCGCTACGTTCCGTGCGCTAACGATAGTTCCCATTCAAGTCTGACAAGGTGCGAAGTTGCCATGCCGAAGGTGAGCAAACTAAACTGCTTGATGAGCCAAAGGACACATGCATCAACGTCGGGCCTGTTGCCTCCAGCGCGTACATTGGGAAGTTGTCTGGATGCTAATGCGTATCACCCTGATAAATGCGACAAGTTCGTCAAGGCTTTGTATCTCTGTTGTGATGAGATGTACAAGAAAGGTGGCAGAGGTGCAGAGTCGAGCGCTTGTCCCATGCAGAGTGTTGTGGAGCGTTGGTTGAAGAGGCACACTGACATCGACGTTGACTCTCGAGGGTGACAAACATCAAGTACGTTTCACCGTGCGTCATGCTTTGCGACTTTTATCGTCCTGCACTCTCCTCCTATGCGCTGCTCTCCTCGACTGTCAGATGCACTACATAAGAACGTACGGTGTCAGGCCACGGCATGCTTGGATACGTCCATTCAATTTTTAGCATCAATCCCATAATCAGATCTGCATCCCCTCATTGTCACAAATACAGACATGGTAATATCATCAGCGTATCTTGCCGCCCCCCATTTCATGATTCATGAATATTCACGTTTTACTTTCTTTTCGTCAGTTTGGGGCTCATCGCTCTTGCCAGGCGACATCGATTCTCGCTTGCGTTTTGCTGTCGTGGTGGCTTCCTGCTTGGACCTCTGTTTCGCGAACATGGCTTGGATACCATCCTTGCGGGTCGATAGTGGTTGAATAAACGTGGGTGACTCTGCCCCGACCTTTCCGACTTCCTTTGGCACTTGGTAGCTGGCGGACAAACGTGACCACCGAACAAATGCAAAAATAACGCGGTGGCTTACCACTGAAGAGGCGCTTTTGCGTCTTCCCATGGATGCAGCAACTTTGCAAGCTCAGCAGACCAAGTCTGAGACGACGTATCCAACCAACGATTTACATCCTCAACTGAAGACAGAATAACCGGTTGGCGATCGTGCAACCAGCTCAACCCCTTGCTGGCATCTGTCGTAACAATCGCGAACGTGTACGTAGGTTCAGAGCCATCTACCAGAAGGGGTCGTTGGTTCTGCATTCGCCGTTGTTGGAGGAAGAGAGTCACCTTGCTCGACGACAGACTCGTAGAGACCAGCCATCAACATGACCTTGTCGCCGGAGGAGTGTCTTATGAAGTGCGGAAGCTTGTTCTTGCCTTTAGTTTGCCACTCGTAGTATCTAGGGTACAATTATCCGTCATCCACGAGCATACGTGGAATGTATACATACCCCTGACAAACGACGATGCACCGGTTCCTCCCTCGAAATCTATTCCACATCCCCACACCCTCAACCAAGTTCTCCGAGCGCGCATTGATAGCCTGTGCCCCCCTTTCCTTGCCGTACTTTATACCCCACCGCATCGTGTGCATAACGAGGTCGACCGGGCCAGAGTCTGCGGCAGGTTCCTCCGATGCTGAAGACGAAGCTGGAGGCTGCTGCTCGGCGCTTGATGGTGGTTTCTTGGTCGTGGCAGCATCTCCGGGAGTGCGACGGATGACGGGTGCTTGAGTATTGGGTGCTATGTTATAACGCGGCTTTGGTCGAAAAAAAAAAGGTGAGACGAGACGAGGTGGAAATAGCGAGGAGACAGTACTTACCATGAAGTTGTCTTCCCCGACCCAGCCTTGGACGTTCAACTGGGGATAACCCGGCAGGGCACGGATCTCAGCTCGCTGTATCGACATAATCAGCCCACGATGAACTCATATTTCGACGAGACCCACCTGCATTGCCAGTGCAAACCTGCCACACATCGTCGTTGACAGGGGCAAGTACTAGTCAGAAACGTCGTTGTACAGCCACCTTTGCATAGTTTCTGGTCCTCCGTCCTCGCACATACACAATGTCGACGTCGACGACGACGACGTCCCACATCGCAATGTCCGCCATCGTCGACACGATCGTCATCAAAATCCTCCACGCCCACAGCTTCACACGCACGTCCTCCCAGGCCCTCTCCGTCCTTTCCAACCTACTCACCCGCTACCTCGTCCTCATCGTATCCGCGTGTGGACAGTACGCGGAACTAGCAGGCCGATCTCGTCTATCCGCGTCCGACGTCGTCGCATGCCTAAATGAGCTAGGGACAGACGTCGACGAGCTGAGCGGGTATTGTAGCACCGAGGGCATCGATCTGTCGCGGTATGCTGCCAGCAGTGCCAAGAGACTCGACGACCTCGCAGAATTCAAAAGTATGCTGTCATTTTTGCTTCAATGGCATGCGTTCTTTACGCTGTCTCGCAGGTTATCTTCTGGAGGGAATTCCTCCTCCACAAGAATATCCACCTCTTTCCCCGCGACCTTCTCGTCCGCCATCACGTTCAAGCAGCGTAGCCCATGGCGACGTTGACGACGTTGACGACAATATCGACAACGAGCCTATTGTGGTCCCCCTAAGGAGTATGTTTATCTCCCTCCCCCGGACCTGATCTCATTATTTTCTCCAGTTCCATCCCCCGAAGAATCTGGATATGGTCTCAGCTTCTTACCGCCCCTCCCTGGCGCGACTCAACCACGCTCACCTTCCCCAACACCCGCTCCGGCTCCAGAGCCCATCAAGATAGAAAGACCCCCCTCGCCTCTACCTCAACACATAGCTTCCACCACCGGAGCAGACTACGCTACACAAGTTCCCTATGCGGATTCCGTTCTTGCCTCCGCACCCCCATGGCACTTACCCAATCGACCACCACCGCCCTCAAAGCCGCAGGCAACAGCACGCTTTCCAACTCCCTCTCCTCAACAAGCCCTCCTGTCCGCATACCACCACATCCTAACTCACCCAGTGCACCAACCCCCACCTCCCAACCCCGCCAAACATAAAGTCGCCATGGCTCTCCTGTCCCAGATCCAATCCAACCCCCGCTGGGACGCGCCAACCACGCTATACGGCAACATCGTTCCGTGCCCTCCACGCGTTACAACCATCAGTCCATCCTATCCTATTGCTTTGTCCACCCTCGAAGACATCCGTGCCGGCAAGGACGTCGACGAGAAAAAAGCGATGCTCCCTCCTGCTCCGGCTAGACCGGTATTCTCAAGTGATAGACCGGTGTACCTTGCCTCCCAGCAAGCTTCACGTCTCCCCGAGCTCGCTCGCCAAGTCCTACCTGTTCGTAGCGCGATCTCTTTTCACTTCCAATATGTACTAACTTCTCTTTTTACTTTGATAGGGAACCGTTCAAGCACGTACCACCCGCCTGACCCATCCCCCTGTTCTACAACGCGGTTCACAAAAACTTATATATGGTCCAGGCATCAGCGCACCTTGGAATTCGTCTTTAGCCAGTGGTGGGGGACCCGCCGGCCAGCAGCAACAGCAGCAGCCATCTAAACAGTCATCCAAAGGTGGCGAAGACAACACGTCGGCAAATGGCAAGGAGACACCAGCATTTTCACTACCAGACGCGCAGATGTTCGCGACTTGGGATTACGAGGTGAAACGTTACCAGGATCCTTTGAGCAGAAGAGGCAGAGTTGTTGGTGTCTCCCAACCACAGAAACGGACGTCCGGTATGACGTCGGGATAGCATCACCCAAAAATGTTGGCGCGTATCCTCATACCATTTTTTCGTACGGCATTGATGTTGGCATTTCTCAAGCTCCTCCTAAGTGTATATATATGTACCGCATGTAATAGTTGCAAAGCTTAGACTTCATATTCAACGTTCTAAGGTCATTTCAGTAACATAGCGGTGCCAGACTCGGAATATAAATAAGTCGTGAAGTATCCAACGATCACAACGAAGTAAGAGGTTTCCCCGGTACTAATCATCCTCGATCATACGAATGTCAAACAATACGCAAAGACACGAAATACAGAAAAATAAACACGACAGCAACCAACAATAACACGAAATCACTGACATGTAACAGAAGAACGAATGAAAAAAAGATAAGATACATGACATGACATAGACTACATGGGGAGAGGATGAAGTAGTACCTAAGGTTGAGAGGCCTCGCCCATAGTCAGTCGTTTTGGCGCTCCTGTTCGGCGGAGCTTGCTTTCTGCATATGCACGAGGAGCAACAGCAACAGCCTCAGCGAATGCGAGCGCGGCAATAACTGAAGCATGCAGGAGACGCCACTGGGCCCCGAGGATGTCGACACACTCCACCCGGGACTTGAATGTATCGTAAGGATAAGCGTAGTGTACCGCCACGCGTATAACCGATGCCGTGAGGGGATCGAAATACAGGGTGTGGGGAGCACGTGCAGACGGCGAGTTGCCGGGTTGGAAGGAGACTAGAGAGCCAGCAAGAGCTGGAATGACGACAGTAGGGATGGCCCAGTGGATGAGAATCGTCCAAAACGTAGGGGAACCAAAGGTGGCGAGGGGAGCGTAGGAGATAAAAATATGGAAGTTGTTGACCCCAATGATTTGCAGCGGCAGGAACTGGAAGTCGTCACCGTAAGCTAGCAAGCTCACCTGAACACGAAGTGGCACTCACCTCGACCGTCTTCCATGGAATGACGACGTACAAAATATACAGTAACTCGAGGACCATAGATATCCACCATATATTCGTCGAACTGGAGAGCACCTGTGAAACTTATGAGCACTGAGATCGCAATAATACCGTGCAACAAACCGTTCTAGACGAGAACAAAAGCTGCTTGGCAGCTTGGTTCGCATCGGTCCGAACCCTCTTCAAAGAGCCAACAGCCTGCTCCACAGATGGCGTGGGGATAGCCCGCAAGACACTCTTCGGAGCAGCGGACAGAGGGGCTTCGTCGACATTTCTCGTCGCAGGCGTCTGCGTTGTCTCAATCTGCAACGCGCCAGCTTCCGGAGAAACGGGTGCCTTCTTCAACATCATCGACACCTCGCGGGCTTCCGGGACAGGGGTACTCTCGCGGACGATGTCAAGGGCGTTAAACCGACGAGTAGACCGCGTGTGCTTGGGACTCTCTGACGATTTGACGAGTACTTCCTCGGAAGTCGATGACGGAACGGAACGACTGCGAGCATGTCTTAGTTGCAGCGGCGGCAAGGATATACGCAATAACAATAACTCACGGCACCGCTGTTGCAGGTTGTGGCTGGATACTCCTCTTCCGCTTACCAAAAAGCCCAGAAAATGCCGGGTCATCCTCGAGCTGCTGGTTGTCATCCAGGTATTTTCTGATTCGCAACTGGAGCTCCTCTCGCGTTCCCTTGTCACTGATGCGAAGTGCAACAGCGATGTCTTGTAGTTCGGATTTCTTTTTAATCTGGAGAGATCCTGAGTAGGGTGCCATCGTAGATACGGTGATTGTATGGTGCGACAGCCAGACGATGGTGGACCGTAGAACAGGGTCGATATGTTCAGTAACTCAACCCAAATCAACGAACAGGCGTGTTGCGTGCAATCATGTGCACGTGACCCGCGACCTATGTGCGCGGACCCCAAACACCAGCCACACTCACAGAGTCCCGGGGTCCAGTGCATCTTTGTGTCCATCCAAAACAGTGTATCTTACCGAGCCAGACGTTGACCGTCTTAATAAAGAGTCCTCCGGAAGGACACGGCCGACCATGCTTAATATTACGCCCTTGGTATCGCTCTTCGCGCTTGCTGGTCAAGGCTAGTACCATCCACCGTCTGCACAACCCCGCTCTTATCTTTCGATCATCTGCAGCGTATGCTTTGACCATCGATGTCGGTGGATCCGTGGGCAACGTATCCGCGGCAGACTTCCTCAATGTTCCAGACTCAAGTCTGTTGGCTACTGTGAGCAATACTCTTCATCCTCTCTTCTTTCTTTTGATCCGACGATACGCAGTGTCAGAGCCCCTGCAACAATGCTACCACTCAGATACAGGTGCATTCTGTCCTCACCTTCTACCTACTCCCATTCCGACGTAAAAACCACACAGAATTGCGGTCCTGACGACATGTGTCTCTGCGGACCAGGGACCATCACCGCCATAACCTCCTGTCAACAGTGTATGTTTGATGACCTGGTCGACAGGTTTGCGGAGAGCACGGATCCCCGCGCTGGCTCAGCTTCAGCGCTAACCGGTCCGTATTCACCTTGATCAAAACTGTAACGCCAGGCAACGTATTGATGACCAACATACGACAGCTTATAGCACCGCATGCTCCACCGCAGTAAATGTAACTATCCCGTCCCAGTTCATCACCTTACACCTCCCTCCGAACTGGGATGGTCCGTATGGTGTTGGTCTCAGTCTACCAGTCACCGTTCTTGTAGTTGCGGCGGGTGCTCTACTGGGAGGAAGTGCCGTCTTGTTGTTGTCGAACATGTAGGACCGGGTTAGAGCTCCTTTACCACCGTGGAACCTAATTATTATAATCCTTGTACAAATTGACACCTCGTGTATCGCTAGATTATTATCCACCTGGTTTTTCGGGAAATGTACGAGTACTTATATCTCCGGAGTGATCGTGAATGATTTTAGAGCTTGTCAGACTCAAGCGTAGTAGTTCATGCGCAAAAGGACAACGCTCAGGATATTCACTTTCAATAGTCGAGGTAGCATGCACTTGGCACACAGTTGGCCTGCACAATGCATCATATTCATGGAAAAGGAAAATATCTGAAGGCCAAGAAGAAAAGTTACTGACTTGAGTTGTAGTAAAAAGTGATGCAAAATTAAGGCATTGCCTCGGTGGGGTTTCGAACGTGCCGACGGTGTTCGACTGAAGTAGGAGCCTTGTGAGCTACATCTACCAATAGACCACCGAGGCAATACCTGCTAGGTAAGCTAATTTTACAACTTTGTCATAGAAAATACCGGAACAAGAGTGACTTTTACAGTACACCTACCCATGGTTTCCTGATCACTGGCACTGCTCGAACATGCACCACTTACATCAATACAGCAGGCCAAATCGTCACCAAGTCCTCGCTTGGGGTAAGGCAGCTGCCAGTTGCTTGCTCAGGTACATTGCCCCACCACCCCAGACTTTGGCAGGTGGTCAAGAACCTCCGTGCTGGTCGTACTAACAGTACGTACGTAGTTTCATCGCAGCGATTGATTACTACCACGATCGATCGATCGCAGTTGCTATTTAAACACAGTCAAGTCACTCGCCGCAGGAAACCGATCCTTCTGCCTGTATGTATACCGGCTCAACCTAGCAGGGATGTAAAAGATGTATCCGTGCACATGCACATAAGTATTTTTTTTTTTAGGTATCGGTCTCAGTCACAGGTGAATGACCTCCCGAATCGTGAATGCCTCACCGCTCAGATCAAGACATTGCAAAACCTTACATGGCCCATTTCCGTGCTGAGATTCTTTGCGGCGGCACCACGGTCAACAACAACGACCTGTTCCTTGTCGCCTGACACCGGTGCATCTGACTCGGACATTTAACTGCGGCCACCGATGAATGTTTACAAGAAGCGCCGCTCTCATTAGTGTCATTCAGTGAAGAAAGACGAGACTTACAATCGTACGTCAGTCTTACTGCTCAACCTTTCTGACGGAGCCCTGGGTGGAAATCGAATCCGTACGGTTTGCGTTCTGAAGCTTTCGAGAAAGCTCTTGGCCTCATGGGAATATAATTACTGCACTGCAGAGGTCGCTAACATAGGTATCCAGGAACCTGCCAGGACTATTCTCGTGGTGTCCTTTGCCCTGCCGGAGGGTGCTATGCAGATCGGTAGATACCTTTCAAGGATGCAAGCAACTCGACCTCTCAATCGGAGTGCGCTTCCGATGTTGACGACGAGTCTGTTGAACAAATCCTTGATACGCTTGAGGGAATGAGTAGATATAACATAAAAAACATGAAGGAACGCGAGTCGCCTGCGCACGACGGCTTTCCCTGCGACACCCTGTACAGTGTGTGTAGTACATGCTAGTGGTCAGAGCTAGGATGAGGAGTGAAGCGTTACTCAATCATTATCAGGGTCGCGTGTAGAGTGAAATTTGCGAGATGACTTCATATTTCTTCAGGGACATAAAGCTATCCGTTTTTCCATCGTACAAGTATCAAGTCAAGCTCTGTTGGTTGGGTCGGGTGACCTGGAGTAGACTACAGCCCGCGTTCGCCGAGCACCAGGCCTATGCAGTCCTCCGCACGCAACGCAACTTACCTTGGTATCCGGGCTTTCTTCAAACAGCTAGCCAAGCAGCAAACCAACCACCGAACACAATTATCTACTACGGCCTCTGCGATTCGTCCAGCGACTGCTGTTCAGAGACAGTCGGAACATGCGCTGCCCCTAGAAGCTTACTTTTCTGAAGATTCCCCTCTCATACCGTTAATTCGTTTCGACTGGAGGCTACGCGCATCATCCAGAGCCAACGGACACCTCACACAAACTTCTCACCAGCCGCAGGATACACACAGAGGCTACATCAAGCGCATAGCCCCTCCACGCGTTCACACGCAACCAGGAGACGCGTACTTCGAAGCAATTCAGGCTTATGAGGCGCGGTACGTCCTTGCTTAAATGTCGAGTGGATCGGAATTCATGGCAACGCCGACAGGTTTCTACCTTTATTGGAAGCAGAACGAGATGAGGGCGAATCCGTCCTGAGAGAACGTCTAGCGACTTGGTCACTTCCGCGGCTACGAGAAGAGGGATACTGTCTCACAGGCCTATCTGCCTTCTGGTTGGGTGCCCCACACTTCGGACGCCCCGTTGCATGTTTTACTCAGGGACCCGGTTTAGTTTTTGCCGAACACAGATTCCAGTTAGTGTGTGCTTAATTCGTTTTTCCTATCGTGCTGATGATGCATCACAGAAACGGTACGCAAGTACTTGTCTCCCGCCTGGACCCTCTTCAGGAGGTTCTATACCGCGGCAGCGTCATGGCTTCCACGTCATCTCAGATAAGAATCGCGTTCGAGGACAAATTCGACCTCGACGATGGCCTCTGGAGGATCGATGTGGGTATTTCCAACATCGTCTTCGAGAGAATGCGCAAGGCTATCGCACATCTCCATCAAGATCCTTCCGAACAAGAAGTGAACTCTGCGCCAAACGAACAGTACATCTTGCAAGGCACGTATCTGCGTGATGTGTTACTACGTAGCTTTTCCCTGGGATCAGCATCACTCCACCAGCCCCTCCAGGCACCAGACGAAGTGGAGTACGTCCCTCGTGAGACACTTGAGCACGAAAGCCGAGAACTACGTGATCATGGCGGTGTTTTTAAGGACGATATGAGGATCCAAAGTTGGGCTAGGAGGTATGCTTGCCAGGACCCTATCAAGGTCGACGGAGATCCACCTTTGGGTGCCTTAAATCCGACGCAAGTCCGCGCCGTCGCGATGATGCTCGGCGAAAGAATTTGCCTGGTTCAAGGTGTAAGGTCTTCGTTGTCGTTCACGATACGCCAACTTACTGGCTTATTTTTCCTCTTGGTTCGATTTAGCCACCTGGGACAGGGAAGACCAAAACTATCATCGAGACGGTTAAGCTCCTGAAGGTATTGCAATCCTTGTTGTTATGATCCGGTCGTAGGGACGTTCCTTTCGTTTCCAGGTCCATTTTGAAGTCCATCATCCCATACTTGTTTGCACATACACCAACGTTGCAGTAGACAACCTCGTAGAAGGCTTCGCCGCGGCCGGATTGAAACCCTTGCGCATTGGCTTCGGAGCCAAAGTCAAATCGAGCCTTAGCGAATACACCCTCGACTACCAGCTCGAGAAGCATCCACTGAAGCCCAAGGTCGACAAACTAGCTGAGGAAGAGACTTCAATTGAGAAACGGCGGGCACAACTTGAGAAAAAGATTAAAGATGTGCAAAGGGAGGGAAGAGAAGGCTCTTCGGATCGTCTGGAACGCATGATCTCCGCATTGACAATGCTGGAAAGGCAAACGATGTCTATCAGGTCTAAGTTGTATGCAATGCACCAGGAGATGCTTCGAGACGTCACCTCGGCAGCGGACGTGGTAAGTCACCCTCACCTGACACCATCTTCTCGAATTTGACTCCTTGCAAGATATGCACGACTTGCATTACTTCGGCAAGTGTCTCCCTAAACGTGCTCGACTTCCCTGTCGTGTTCTTGGACGAGGCATCCATGTCAACTGAGCCTGCGTCATTGATTCCACTGATGAGAGGAGTAAGCCCACCGTACTGTTAGTTATATACTCCGCCTGACCAAACATTTCGAAGTCTCGGCACGTCAGCCTAATTGGAGACCACAAGCAGTTACCACCCGTTATCGCGAGTCGTGAGGCAAAGATGAAGGGCTTTGGCACGAGCTTATTCGAGAGGTTGACCGAAGAAAGAGGTAAGTGGGGTGTCTAGACAGTACCAACGCCATTCTTCATGTTCCCTTGCTGCAGTGGTACCGTCTATCATGCTCGACATACAGTACAGGATGCACCCAACCATCTCTCACTTTCCTTCGCTGGAATTCTACAACATGTCATTGCAGGACGGCACCGTCGACGCGGCTGGGAACGTGTCCCCAGATCTTGATCCTCCCTTGTCGAGTCACTTGGAAGTAGACACGCTGACTGGACGCCGACCTTCAGTTGTGTTTCTAGACCACGGCGGTTCCGAGATGGCCAAGGACCGTAGTAGGGTCAACTGGAATGAAGCACATATCGTATGTAGCATCATCGAGGACCTCTTACTCCGCAACGAGGTATGTAATTCCGTGCCGGCATTTTCACCCTTGTTGATTCGATACGGAGAAGCACCTTCGAGGCAAGAATATCGGCGTTATTGCGCCATACGCAGCCCAGATATCATTGCTCACACGCCTACTGAACACCGATGCCAGGTATCGCAAACGATTTTTGGCCACGCTCGGGGACTACCGGGTTATGCAATTGTCTGATATCGAGGTGAAGACGGTGGACGGATTTGAAGGTCGGGAGAAAGACGTGATCATATTTTCAACGGTACGAAATAATAACACTGGTTACATCGGCTTCTTGGCGGACAGAAGGCGGCTTAACGTTGGTCTTACACGGGCGAAGCGAGGGCTGTTTGTTGTTGGAAGCATCAACACGCTCAGGAGCGGCAAGATGGCCAAGGGTCATGGCGGTGAGCTCGGCTCAGTTCGCGTCGGAAGGGGAGCGGAGACATGGAAGCGATACGCAGATTATTTGGTTGAGCAACGGATGGTGTTGCAGCTCACTGGGGAGCGGCTACACAAAGTGTTGTACGGGAACCTGCCAAGTACGAGTCCTCCGAGCGAATACACTGCCTAGTTCTGACTGTAACCCTACAATATTGTGTTCTCGCGACGCCCGAGTGACAAGGTGTGTTCGTTGGTGTGTGACGTGTGAAGCACCGTCAGGGACGATGGGCGGGCAGGAACGCCTACTATGCCGACTCGGAATTCGGCCTCTTGAAACTGACCGGAGTATCAGTCGACGAGATCACGTCAAACAAACATTATCCAGAACAAAATGGATTGTTCGTATTCATGCACTAGACAACCGCGACGTTTGTTCATTTCCTCGGATGAACTTTTGTGCGGCGTCGATGGTGACGCCATCAACATATCCAACCAGATAGATGGATATTGCTTTACGCCCAATTTCCAGGAAATGAAGCCATCCAAGCGATAGTGGACGGTTGCAGGTTCCAGCTGCTGAATGCATATCGGTAAATCGTTCGGAAGTCCGATCGTCCGAGCTCAATAATATTATTGTGTAACTGTTTCTCGTACTCATATTAATATTGAAGATGAAGCCAGGAAGTACGTATGTGTTGGAAAGAAGGCATCAGGTGTGCGAAGGCTGTTCGGATGAAATAGGAAGAACCTCCTTATGAACAAAAGGAACGGTTTGTCCATCCGCTCTAACCCCAAGATGCTGTAGTTGATGGGCACGTAGCAGTGTACTGTACGTTTGCTAGTCCTGCTAGGGTTAAGAAAACGTGTACATGTACACACAAAGGCTGTGAGCAGGCCAGGCGGTTGGGGGGGGACATGTTCGGGTGCGACCGATCGGTGTTTTGGTGGGAAGAAGCCGGATTGTTCCCCTGTCCCACCCTCGCTGAGGATCCCAAAGAGAACGACGTCGACGTCGACACTCCGGCAGAACGTATTTGAGAATACTGACAAGTATACTCCTGCGAAGTTTGATCTTGTGAGCTGGATGGGTTTTATTTTCCCTTTCGCCGAGGAAATGCCACGTGGAAATCGGCCCGCTTGACAACAACATATCCGCAATCCTGACAGTGTGAATTTGTTGCCAGACCGCACCGGCGCTGTTGTAATCGATGACGAAAGAAAATGACCAGCTGGCCAGCTTCAAAAGCAATATTTGCCGGGGGTGTAACTTTCTCCCTCAGGACTACTGACTGTCGCCATCGAGAGAACCCCACGACAAAGTACGTAGCAGGCACATCGTAGAGCAATTGAAGACCCTCACACAATGTGTAATTCAGGCAACCTTCCCTCTATTTCCGTGTTTACGCAGTGCTTCTATATTCTCAGAAGAACTGCTAGGTTCGAATTGGGTCTGTCGACGATCTAGCATCACGGCTGCTGCAAATCTGCGCGTCTCTCTTCAGTTTTTTTCCCTCTCCTGACGACCAGTTCAACTTCCCCGCGTCCTCGGTGTCACGTCAGGACATCCCCGACCGCCACTCAAATAAGGACCACGCTGGCCGAGTCGGACCCACCCATCCTTGCTTGCGATACCACTTCCCATGTCCGTTCCTTCTGCTGCCAGTTTTCGTCTGTATGACCTACTCCGACAGCATCGCGAATTCCCGTCCTATACCAATACCTCCCTCGTGACTCGGGACGAACTTGCCATGAAGTCTCTCCCAGTGCCGCTCACCTCTGTGTCTTCGTTTTCGAACGAGGGGGCCACCGTCGCGCATAGCGACTTTGACGTCGTGGCGTCGTCCTCAAGGCTCTCGTCTCCTTTGAGCTTGTCTGGCACTCCTGCTCAGACTGTTCACTATCGAGCACTGTACGAGTCTTTCGTGTCGACTCGATCGCGTGTGGTGCAGGTAAGAGGGCATCCAGTCGCTGCAGTGTCGCGGTACGTGGCTGATCACGCGAGATGAAGATACGCAAATCCCCCAACGTGTCATTTCTGTCCGTCGTCTCGTTTCTGGAGTCGCTCCGGGAAGGGGTAGGTCTTGGCATAGGTGCGACTATCGCTCGACGCTTATCATTTTTTACGACAGCATCACTGCGGTTTCATGTCAGTGGCACAGCCTCTGTCGATGTGGACGGCCAAGGGACGTGCTGACCGAGACGAGAGCTGGGTCGTGTTCAAAACCCATGATGAGGTAAGCTAATTATCCTTTCTTGGTAGTCTCGTCCACGTGGCCGGGCGTCTCATTTCCTTTGTGGGAATCGGCGAGGCTCCTGTGCCAGGGGCTGTCAATGCTGTCGTCCTCATATGAGGGGGTCGTTGCAACTTGGCAGCCGGCAGGGTTTAATTTTTACCTTGTTGCGTTGATTGCGGTGTGTACATATATGATTAATGCGTCTGTTTACAGGCTCGTGCATTTCTCTCGCTTTCTTATCCTTCAATCACCATTCTTCCCGCAATTGAAGCCGACTTGGAGCTGCTAGAAAGGTTTTGGCGCGCCGACATCGCTCATAAGGTCAGGTCGCGCGTGCGTTGGTATGCATGCAAGACTCAGCAGCTGACACACTTCCCAGCTCGACGTCCACCGCGATCACCAGCTTCGCATGTCCCTCTCTACCCCGGATCTTCACAGACGCGCAACCCTAGCGCAATCCCCCTCTTCTGCGTTCAACCTTCCTGTAAGCTCATGCAGAGGATTTTACCTTGTCCAGCAACCCACCAAACCCAAGGACATCGTTCAGGTCGGGAGATTGGATGTCAGTGAGATCTCCCACTTTCATTTACCCCGGGGGTGGCCGTTTCTATGGTCCGATTTCAATTGATAACCGATCATATCTCAGTGGGGAGTATGGTCACCCACGGGGGCATTATTTGAAATTCTAGAAGTGTTTAGCAGTTCCTGACCCAGGCCATTCTCCCAACAGATGCAGCTCACCCAGCTGTGCCGCCCACAACTTTGGGTGAGTGCCTGTGTACTTTTCTACCCCCCACCTCGACTTGCGAACACTTTGCCATTTTTTTGATTGGTTCTGGTGCCGATTATGGCATGGATTGATATGGGTTCACCGTCGGCGTCATCACCGTCATGCATTAGGTTCAATTTTCAAATTACTCCACCCCTCCTATGTCCACTTATCTTCAGGATCGTCGCTGCTACAGCATGTTGTTTTCGTTCTTCCATCGTTTCTTCTCTGCGTTTCATCTTATATTCAGGACATGGTTCTGACTGACTCGTTTCCTTGCATGATTTTGCACAGGCGCAATCTGGCCTGCAGAGGATGCGGATGCCCACGCTCGGAAAGTCAGGTTACCTTCGATGAATCGCCAAGGATCTGCAGCATTGCCCTCCACACGTTTCCCTTCCTCTCCTCGGTTCATCGGTTCCGCTAATGCGACATCTCCTTATGTTCAACCGTCGATACCCAATACCACTTCTGGACCACATTACCCCAGCGGTTCGCAAGGCGCGAGACATCTATCTCCTTCACTTCCCGCTTTGATGAACGTCAAGTCACCCTCGCCCTCTAACCCTTTACTCACTCCTTCCGGGCGTGCTTTTGCGGTGGGGGGGAGAGTGCAGAATGTGTCTGGCGATCCCCTCATCCCTTGTGTCATTTTTTGGCCAGATAATGAGCCTTTCCCTGAGCAGGGACAGATACGACCTAGTCATCTTACGGGGGTACAAGTATGCCACTTTTTTTCCATTGTCAGGCGCTGATGCTTACGTTTACCACCAGCAGCCACCCATCCTCAACACTGGTAACCGGGGACCTATCGAGCACCAACCGGGCTGATTGGATCTGTTTGAAGTGCAACTATCTGAATTGGCGCAGGCGCAAAGTCTGCCAGACCTGCTTCCCCTGTGAGTTCATGGTCCAGCGTGTAATAATTCCGTATCTTCATGCACGCGAGACAGATGCAGAAGGCAACGGGGATTCCATCTCAGCCGCGGTGCAAGCGGAACGAATTCATCTCCTGACCTCCCTCCTCGCTCGAAATCAACTTTCGGTCCATCAACAGTGTCCACCAGAAGTACCCTCACAGCCGGTGGCGTCCATCCAGCCTCAGCGTTCTCCCATGGATAGGTCCCGGTCACTGCAAGTTTCTCCGCGCCCCCGTTCCCAGCTTGACCTTGCTGCACGATATCCTGATTCCCAGTTCATATACGAGACTTCCGGTCCCCATTCTTCCTCTTCAGCATCGTTTCCTAGCATGAAAGGTCTTGAAGACGATCTCCCATCCCCATCTGACGCGCCCAATCTCTTACCCTCTTTTTTGCAAGATATCGTGCAGTCGCCTACTTTGTCACCTACCTCGACATCATCTGCAGAATTGTCCATTGAAGAATACGAGGCCAATTCCCCTTCTTCGCAACGGTCTTCCCTTACACGGGATCGCCTAGTGTTGACCGACGACTCTATCTCCCATTCGCCTCTCGGCAATATATGGAAGCTTAACGATGAAGAAACGAAAGGCGGGGCCTCTGTCGCCTTGCCAACTCATGAAGACCTGGTTGGAAGCAGGAACAGCAGTCGGGAGTTTTAACGTCCTCAAGGAAGCAATAACTGGATAAGGGATAAGGGACTGGTACTTTTTTCTTCTTCCCTACTTTGTGTGTTTTTCGGTGTACGGTCTGTCTTATATGTAGGGCTTTGTCTCGACGACTCCTTCTGCTGTTTCGTTGTTCGCCAGACTAGCATATGTCCATAGCTCGGGTAAATTATTTCTGTTAGGTGCTTCTTCATAACGGTCGCAACACGGCGGGTATCCATGTACACCTTTGTTACTTAGAATCTAGCGGTCTTGTGTGTGCTGGTGGATTGCATATCTCCCAATTGAGATCCGGGAACGACTGTCTTCTATCGAGTATTTGGTCTGAGTAGGACAGGAGACTATTGTTTCCCCCCTTTTTGGTCTTCGTCTCTCATGAAGTCAGAGATCGTCATCCAAGTATGCCCGCAGCCACGATCAGCCGCTGTCAATCTCCTGTCTCAACAGATCCCGCAAGGTGAACCTCGAGACTCAGATCTTCTTAGATCCTATTCGTGCGGCACTCAAAGGCTCTGCACCCAACGGTGTTGCCTCGACATGCGCACCTTGCTTCACGGATGGGTCTGATTCGTGGGTGGAGCAGGAACTTTCTTGGAACTACCGTTGCGCAGTCTTGAGCCAAGGAGGTGTGATACGCCGCAAGTGGGATTTCTTAGAAGAAGGTCAGAGCATCCAATACGCGTGTCTGGGACGCTTCGCACACAGTACCGAGGCCACTGGACCTGTGCATGGAAGCGCGCATTACACGTCCTCCAAAGAGGAGTACACGCACACCGGACCAACAAGAGAAGCACTGTTCGGGCCATTCCACGCCATTCCACGAGGAAAAGCCCAAGAATGAACTCGCCCAAGAAGTCGTTCCAGCGGTTTTCGTGTTCTTACGGAGCATAGGCAAAGTCTTCCTGGCCAACGGGGTGGACTACACGTTCTCTCTTCCATTTCTCGTGAAGAAGGCGTGGCCACTGCATCCTCACGGCAGTCCTGATACAACGGGTTCTTGAGCCGATAGAGGTCGAAGAAGCTCGTTTTACAGGTGACACACTCCTTCCAACAATCTTCTCAATTACGAATCCTTTCGCGGAACCTACTGCTATTGGAATCACAACAGGCATTGTGGGAGGGCACGGTGACACCCCAGTCTCACTTTCTGATGAGGATGAACAGTGTTCCAAGCCCCTCGCGGCTGTTTCCGCTGCAGAAGAGGTTGTCTGGGTGTCTACATACAATTCTGATATCGCCGTTTTGATAACGTTCAACGAGGAGATAAGACAACTCGCGATCTGGAGATACATTCATTTGAAACCGAAGGGCGCATTCGATCCTATCGAGCATGGCAGGACGAAGGTCTCCTTCTGGGTACAAAGGCTGGCTACACGCCCCCTTACGAACCTCCCGTAAGCTATCTTTATGCACATTTCTTGGGAACCTAATCATCCAATGGCATCAGGGATGGGTGGATGGAAGGCTTTTCTGCTGCTCTGTTTGATCCAAAGGCATGATGGTTCGGAGTTCCGCACCCTCCTGGCTATCTGCATTTCTGGTACACAAGCGCTTGTGTATGCCTTACCAGTCAACCAAACTGGGCAATGTCCTCATGCAAACTTTTTGACGACCATCGATGCCACATCTGTCATACCTATACGTTCTACCCGAGCGGAAATGTGGGACTTATTGGCCGTGAAACCAGGGGGGACTGTCTCGGTTCTTACGCATGGTCTCTATGATTTACCCATTCAACTGCGTCTATCCGCATCTTGCGACGTGCAAACGCAAGGTGCAGATCGACCATCTGATTCCGAGGTCAAAAATATAGTAGCAGTGAAGTGGGGATCCATATCTTCGGTCACCCTGATATGCTCCAGCGGAGAAAACTACCGTGGCAGATTTGATATGATTGCTCAAGATCCTTTGGTATCTCAGGCTTTGCAGGTCCTTGCCCTAGCTCTTCCCAAACAAGAAGCGTTCGACGTGCATCGCAAATTCCTAGAAGCATGGAGTCCACATTACTTTCGGACTTGTTTGAATATGGAATTTCATGCACTTTCACTTGCGATTTCTTCCGTGCTGGAGCTCTCACCAGTGTACCCATTTAAGGACGACAAACCGCCTTCCACTCCCTGGGACAAGTTTTGCCACCTTGCTGCTAACTCCCGGTCTTTTGCAGATGACCCCGCTCTTCAACGACTAAAGTTGCCTGTTTCTCCTGTTTCTCGCCAGTACTTTTTGTTCACCTTAAAGCCAAACCCACTGTTGGCCTCCGTACTGTATGCGTTACACATGCTTGCAGAAGACCTTCGCCTGACGGTCCATCGTTACGATTCACTTCTACTCCTCGTACCACTGGTTTGCCAGATCGCACACATCATACGGCCTGAATGGGTTGACTACTGGAAACGCCTATGTCCCGACATCATGCCAGCTTGGCCCTCGCCATCTGCTATTCGTGAGTGCTGTGGCTCAGCAGGCATTCAGCGCGGCTGACATTCCTCGCAGGTGCTGACACGCTGGACGATCGTATACCAGTTTGGCCTCCTGATATGACGGCCGTATTGTATGGGAGGCTTAGCAACCCGGATTGGAAGTTCTTACCCTACGAGAGCCCGCGATTGGCATCACTTTTCGATATCCAACCATCGTTTGCCTTTGGGAATGCTTGAACCTTTACTGAACTCTGCAACGTGTCACTACCGCATACTTGTGTCTTGCAGGTGATTCGGTAGCATCCACACAAAGACGAGCGGAGTTGACAGTAGAGACGCTGATCCAGACGTGGGGAACAGCAAAAAAGGGCTTTCTTTTTTTGGATCGCTTACCTCTAGGTATTGCGGCACCCCTTCGCGAAGCTATTCGAACTTGCCAGCTCTCACCACCTGGTAACTGGCGATCGGAACATTATGAGTTGGTGGGTCGTCGGGACTTGGCTTTCAGCGTTGCCAAGGTGCAGCCGGTACACTTCCAACAAGGATTGTACCAGTCTCCCGAAAATTACATGGTAAATCTTGGTTCGTGTAATGTGTCACTTGTGGTCTCATTCGCTTTCAGAACTCGCACTGCCGGGTCACGATAAGTAGCCTCGTCGATCAGGCCAAATCCGCAAGTATTGGTGAAATTGACGCTGTTTCGGGCGTGGAGCTGGATCTGAATGGCTTTTCGAAAATCCGATTTGGCCAAGACCGGAGGTTGGAAGAAGTTGCTCGCATGCTCTGCTCTTCATCGATAGCATCTGCGCGGCTCGTGGAGCGACCGGACCTCAAGTGCGTTGGTCCCATGCATAAAAGGGTTATTCTGTTAATCCGCTCTTTTGCAGTGAGCATGACCAAGCGAAGGAACAGCAGCACCAGGTGGTGCGACTCACAGAGCGGACACTAGCTTTGCCTTATGGGAGAGCTATGTTCACATTTGGCACGGTGCAGACAGTCACTAGGGAAGCCTATGTGATCCCTAAGATGGAGTTTTCGGTCCGAATTCAGCCGTCTAATGTGATTGCAACACCGGAACCTGGCAAGATACCAGTGGAGTGCGTTAATTGGGGAGAGTTCCACAATGGTGTTGCTGCTGGTCTACGAATTAGCCCTGGCGCTCGTGGTGTAGAGAGCTCATGGATCGCTTTCAACAAACCATCCGAATTGACACCTCAACACGCAGGATTCTTGTTCGGCCTTGGACTCACGGGCCACTTAAAGGAGATGTTAACATGGCATACGTTCGGCTATTTGACGCCAAAGCATGACTTCACATCCATTGGAGTTCTCCTTGGACTCTCCGCTGCTAATGTCGGGAGCGGAAACAAGCATGTTACAAAGTTGCTCGCTGTCCATACACCAGCGCTCCTCCCGACGCCTACCATTGACCTCAACGTCTCCCTCATGACTCAAGCCGCCGGCTTGGCCGGAGTCGGTATTCTTTATCTCGGCACGAAGAACAGGCGTATGGCAGAAGTTTGTTTGCATCAGATAAGCCGCAAGGATCTTGTCCAGCCCGACCTCAGTAACGAACACCGGGAAGCATACACGTATGCAGCTGCTCTTGCACTCGGGATGATCATGCTTGGTCAGGGTTCATCCACGCCTGCCGATACAACTTGCCTTCATCGATTGCGTGTGTTGGTGCACGGTGAAGTCAAATCTCTAGCGGGCACAAGCTCGCGTCCCACTTTCGACACCAATATCACCTCACCCGCAGCGACAGTGGCGTTAGGCCTCATGTACTTAAAGACCGGGCGAAGAGACGTGGCAGACATACTTGAAATCCCGAGTACGATTATAGAGTTGAACCGCATCCAACCAAGTTTCCTGTTGATGCGTACGATTGCGAGGTCTCTAATTATGTGGGACGTTATCGGATCAACGGAGGAATGGGTACTGAAGCAAGTTCCGGCGCCGATAATGGAGGCAATGCAAGAGCATATGCTTGCCAAGAAGGTAGCCGATGATGCTATTCAACTAGCTTACTACAACATTTTGGCTGGTTGTTGTTTCGTCGTGGGGCTCAAGTATGCTGGCACGGCGCGCCACGAAGCATACACGATGCTGTCACACTTTTTCGATAGCTTTAGCAGGTTTGTTGCGTCCAACGGTAGGTTCATCATTATTTCGTGTATGCTCTTGTCTGACGAGTGTGTAGGCGTCGCCTTCGACCATAAAATCAAGCGCTCTGCCGTTCGCGAAGGTCTGAACTTGATCTCCATAGCGTTGTGCATGGTTATGGCTGGCACTGGTGAAATCTCTTGCTTGCGGAGACTGAGGTATGCCTACGGAATGTACCACCAAGCCTTTAGGTATGGAGTACATGTCGCAACCCACCTCTCTCTCGGGCTACTTTTTCTGGGGGCCGGTCGATTCACACTGGGTACATCTAACGCCGCCATAGCGTGCCTGGTTACCGCGTTCTTCCCTCGTTTCCACCACGTCTCGTCTGATAACAAGAGTTATCCCCAAGCTCTCAGGCACCTCTGGGTCCTCGCAGTTGAGCCGCGGTGTCTTATTGCGCGTGATGTCAATACATGTGAAGCAGTTTATCTTCCGGTCAAGATTACTACTCGAGAAGGCAGCGAGAAAGGCAGTTCGCAGCTGATTTCCCCTACACTCATCCCAGACTTTGGTAAGCTACTTTCCGTGCGAGTAGATACCCCGCGTTACTGGCCTTTCTTCGTGGACTTGGAACACTCCCCGGAGCAAAAGAAGAACCTTCTCAAGAACCAAACGCTGTACGTCAAACGTCGGACAGCATTTCTCAGCTATACAGAAGATCCCCGAGGCAGCCGAAGTCTATTCGTACGGTCCTGGATCCTCGGCTGGAGATGCGGCCACCCTTGACTTCCCTCAAGCTTACCGACGCAAAAACCCATCCTGCGAGCGATTTGACTCACTTCATCTCATCCTTTTCGAATGACACACTGTTTCTCGCCTTCGCTGATTATTTCTCACGGGACGACGGTGAGACGCATGCAGAGAGGATATTCCACGCGTACTGTCCATGCCGTCTTGCTGGATAGTATCTTGCAGGATAAGATGGAGACGTTACAATCACACCTAGCTCTCTACCAGTATCGCACCCAGCCGGAGTCAGCAGCGTATTTCCACCTCCGTCTGCAAGACCTCAGGTTCGCGGCTGACTTTTACAGCAAAGTTTTCGAACGTCGTTTTTGTGGTCGAGCGGAGCATAATGCCAGACCTCCCCTCATCCGCGAGAATACCGCTTCCGGCTCTCTACAAGCACTAGACAAGCGCCTTGGAGACCTCACAGCTCAGCCGAAATTCAATGAAATATTCGCTCGTTATGCCCGAGGTGAGACTATTGGGGATGCAGAAGATTTCGGTTCTCCTGGAGAGCTCTCCCGGTGCCTTGCTTGGTATCTTTTGAGGAACGGCGTTCCTTCTGCTTCTCTACTGGTAATTCTGCGCCAACTCGCCAGGGATGCTTACGCCCAATCTGTTTCACGATCCCCTCCGGAGGGTACTGCGGACGTGAAGGGGCTCGATGTAGGCATTAAGGAGGTGTTGCGTGGGACTGGGACCAAGATGATAAATGCATTCGGATCCGGCTGGTCGGGTTCCTCTCTTGACCGTGTTATTGACGCATGGCAGGGTGTTTCATGAAATATTGCACACCAAGCGACTTTTCGCATGTCTTCTGGTTGGCCGCATCAGTATCCTATGTCTATGCAGGTATTTACAGAAGAATAGAGAACAAAGTGTAATAACAGTTCGGGTACGCCACAGCACTTGATTTTGTATACAACGAACTAACTCCCTATCCGAAATCCAGTACATTAAAAGTTACAGAAGGCAAGAGTCAAAAGCTGTTTTTCAGGGAGAGGGAGGAGTGGAGCGCTGGAAGCCCGCAGGCCTTTGCAAACCCTGTTCTATGAGGAAGGTGCGGCGTTGACCGACAGCCTGTACAGCGGTGTCAGAAATCGGCTGATGCGTTCATTGAAAAACCAATGAACAAACCTCATTGAGGCGGTCAAGCATGCCAACTGTCGTCTCCCAGTCGACGCAGGCATCAGTAATACTGACGCCGTACTTGAGGCCACTTGGACCCTCAGCAGGGACATCTTGACGGCCAGCATTGATGTGAGATTCGACCATAACACCCGTTATATTCCTGTCGCCTGCAGCAAGTTGTTGGCAAACGTCGTCAAGAACCTTGGGTTGGTTGTTGTGGTTCTTTTGAGAATTGCCGTCTGTTCCATGGCATTAGTGCTGAGTGTACAGACGGAGTGAACGGTGACACCCACGGCTGCAATCAATCATGATGGAAGGGTGGTTTGCAGGGCGGGCCTTCTCGATGGACTTGACAGCTGCCCGGACATATTCAGATGCATAGTTCGGGCCCTTGGAGCCACCACGAAGGATAACATGGACATCTTGGTTACCCCTAGTCTTGACGATGGCCGCCAGACCCTGCTCGGTAACACCCATGAAAGCATGAGGGTTGGAACTCGAACGCATAGCATCGATTGCAACAGAGACGCTAGAGGAACGGTTAGGAGGGGAGCCTAAAGTTGGTAAGCATCTTACCTTCCATCAGTGCCGTTCTTGAAACCAATAGGGAAGGAGATACCGGAAGCAAGTTCACGGTGAAGTTGAGACTCAGTGGTGCGCGCACCGATAGCACCCCAGGAGATGACTACGTATCCAAATCGATGAGAAGATCTGAGAGAGGTAAGTCCCATTGCTTACGATCGGAAATAAACTGAGGAGAAATGGTGTCAAGTAACTCGACACCGACAGGAATGCCAAGATCTGTCAAGTCACAAAGCAACTTCCTAGCAATTCGCAGCCCCTTGTTTATCTTGAAAGAGCCGTCGAGGTCCTGCAGCAAATATTTAGACCCACAGATACCCGACGAATGACCATTACGCACTGGATCGTTAATCAAGCCCTTCCAGCCAACGGTCGTCCGAGGTTTCTGTCCAGAGCATCTTCAGAAAATCTGAAAACCGAGGCGATAAAAATACGACGTACTTCGCTGGAAAAGGCGTTAGCAAAGTAAGTGTCACGTGACTGATGGAATGACTCACAAGTAAGCGCGCATGATAATCAAGAGGTTGTCCCAGGTAGGGATTTTGTCTCTGAGGAGACGAGCATACTCGATAGCCTGCTCGGTGGAATGGATTGAACAGGGACCGACAATGACGAGTACCCTGTCATCCTGGCCGGCAACAATGCGGGCAGCTTGGTACCGAGCAGAGGCAATAGTCATCTCGGATGTCTCCGAGGGAGTGATCTCGTGCAAAAGCAAGGCGGGTTGGACGAGGGGGTCATACTGAGTACGTTGTCTCGTTCAACATTGGAAGACGGGGACGTCCGTGTTACATGACTTACACCGATGACACGTCTGTCCTGAATGAACTGTTGGATTTGCTTTACGTCTTCGGGGACGGGAGTAATGTTGTACATGGCAGATGGAGATCGTGGCACAGAGAAGAGAAAGCGCTGCTGTTTGGGAGGATAGTCTTGCTGGAAGACGATCCTTTTATACTTGATCAAGAGGCCTCTTAAAAGCCCAACCTATGGCAATATTTTTCATTGCCTTTCCTGGCGTCGCTTATTTAGCGTGAGTGCGTGTCATCCGCCGAACCGAATCGCTCTGCAGCCTGTCGGCGTCCTGATGGCCACTGCCACTAGCACACAACAGGTCGCTGTTACGCTCAACCCTGTGCCGGGCTTCTGTGTCAAATCTAAAGCCACGAACGACACAGTAGTGCATCCGTCGACTGCTGACAGAGCAGGCGTTTCACGGGACGCTCAGATTAACCGAGCTTCGCCCTTGATTCCGGTCACAAAAGGCCTCAAAATCTTTGTAAACATAGCATGGGATTCGAACGTGCCTCCTCCTCCGCAGGGAAGCGAGGAGGCGATACAACATGCCATGCGAGGCCTCCATATCGATGAATCTAATCCAGAGAGCTGGTTCGTCCCACTTGTTGTATCTGATGCCCGCCGTGACTCCGACAAAGGTCGGTGTTACTACTGCTCCCCAATTTTCTTAATACTGACGACCTGCCAACTCTATCTCCACTTTCCATGCCAACTACCGACTCTGTGCTTACGCTCACCGCATTTGAACAGCCGGCCAGCCCTCCATCGTCTTCGACGCGATATTCAGCCCTTCCATCAAGTCCCGCGCATTAAAAGATGTTGATTTCAAGTTTTTCATCATTGGTGTGTATACTAAACTAAACACACTACCCAAACACTCGCCTCATTCTTCGCCTCAGAGCTTGCCTTCCAGCGCATCGAAGCACAGACAACTATTATCCTTTCTCGGCAGATTGGTACACCCAACATAGCCTCCAAGGGAAAGCCCCAAGCGCGACAAGTCTTGGTACCTGCAACACTATATCCGCCCGGCCACCCGAACCACCGTGCACCTGCCAAACTCATTCAAGAAATCCCACCCCGCCCTACGGCCGAGTCTACACCTGAAAGCACTCTGAAGAACCAACAGTCATCGACTAGCATGGCCCCTAAAATTCCGTCGTGGTCTTGGAGTGAAGAAAACTCAAAGTTACGTATCGTAATCAATGTTCCTGCATTGGTGTGTATCGCTGCCACCATAGGTTTAGCATATTGTGTGACCGAACACGCGATATTTCAAACACACAGACGCATGCAGCTATCCCGCTTTCCACTCTCGATGTCGAGCCTAGACGCATACTGCTATCTGTCCCATCGTTGTATAACCTTGACATCGACCTCAGTGCTTCAGATGCCGATCTCACTGCCACCTTCGCCGAACCAGACTCGTCGATGCAGGCGCTGACTTTGAAACGCAAACGAGATCTCGATGTTGACAATGCAAAGGCTGAGTGGCGTGTCGCAGATAAAACGATCGTACTCCACGCCTGATTTGTCATAGCGTTTACACCGTTTAAACACACCGGATTTTTAACACTGCCCCAAATGCCTCTATTCAAATCAGCAACAACGTTGCATTGATATCAAACCAGCAGTACCTCGCCGTATTCTCTCGGACGCACGTTGGCGCCGCACGTGGGGAACAGCCCCTACATGCGCTTCTTATAACCCCGTAATATCACCTCATGGTAATGGATTTGGCAATTTTCCGACTTTCATAACGACTTCTTTCTCATTCAAGATTGTAATCGCTTCCGGCGGCGGTCGTCGTCGTAGCTTATAACGTTTATGATCAGCCGAAGTATGGAATCGACGATAGCCTACCAGCCGAGCCAGCCACATTTCTTCTCCAAACGCGGTCGCGTGCCCGCGTTTGGATCCAGCTACCTACTCAGGCAAAGCCATTCTCCCTGAATCCTGCATTGTTGTACAAATTATCCGGACATGCGCCCGCCCCAATCGGCGGCCTATGTACTACAGGCCTCCGGGCTGTTCGCCAGCGGTCACCTCGAACGCTGTCAAAATTTGATGAACTATTTACAACGCACATTTCCTTATGGATGCCGTGAGTTATCCTCACCGGCCTGGGAAAGCCGGAAGCGAATGGACGCCGAACAGGTACTTTGCAGTGGAAAGTTTCATTATACTTCCCGAACAGAAGGATCATTATCCGCTAAGATAGTCGCACGCACCCGATGTGCGTGTACTATCGCATATCAGTTCATACTTCCGTCTCCTATGCCACCTTCCACCTTAAGCCAAGTGGGGTTGTTTATCAATATCGTACACACGTCGCAAGAGGGTGTAAGTTGTCGTCCAAATCCATCTATCCGGGTGCTGCTAGCATCGGCGTGGTCCTTTGCAGGCAAACATGATACACTGCTGGCATACCATTCAAGGGTAAGTTCATTTCATACAAGCTAACATGAATCGGTGACAGCCACTGTTTTTGAATGTCACCCACCAACCTCTATGGTAATGCTTGTTTCTGTAAAAGGGATACGTATGCACGTAGCGCATGATGGCACGATGAGTCACTATGATGTATGACAGCTAAATCCAACTCCCTGCAACAATATTGCTGCAGTCAAAAAATATATATGCAAGAAAGCTACGCTGAAGCCGCAGCCATCTTTTGCATCCACCTGAGGTCACAACGACACAGGTACCTGTCCCTTCGCTTCGCGTTCCCCAAAGATCACTGCGACAGCCGCCTCCAACGCAGCTGGAGTGTACTCGAAACTAGCCAGACACGGTTCCTGAATGTCCGGTGCCCCCACCACGTCATAAGGTGCACAACTAACCAAAATGATGATGGGGGTGGCACCCCGTTTTTCTTGCAGCAGCCTTCGTAAGTAATCAACCTGCCAACCGCTACGATCCGCGTTGCGTGTAACAAATATAATTGCAGAGGTTGCCCGGAGGGCACCAGAAATTTCATCAGGAAGCTGCCCCCGTCCATGTGCTGGCAGAGGTGTATACAGAAGATGTCGCAAGTTCGTGCGGCGAGCCACAGATTGTTCCAGTGCAAGATACTCCATCACTGGGGCCATAACCAATACTGGACCATCGTCTTTCCTTACAACTGGAAGGGTCCCTCTAATCGACGCTGTCGAGACAGCATATGACTCAGCGCTGAGATGTGCGTTCCGGATAAGGAGGTCTGCGAGGGCTTGTTCATGGAACGGTTCGAAAACGTCCGCCCAAGAAGTACCTGCATATGCGAATTTCAGAGCGGCGATCCGCTGTCCACTTTTCCGGAGGGATTCAAGCGATAATGAGCCATTTTCGACAGCCGCATAAGTCTCCTCGATGGCACCCCTTTGCACCTTCATCGTATGGCAGATCATGGCAATATCTGCGCCGGCCTGCAGGGCCATCACGGCACCCTTTTGCGGGGTATATGAGGCAGCTACTGCATTCATCTCCAGACAGTCGGTCACAATTACCCCACCATAGCCCATCTTCTCCCTAAGCAAATCTGTCGTGATCGTTGTGGAGAGGGAGCATGGTGTATTGTCTCCGGTGATGAGAGGAAGCGCCATATGACCAGTCATGATCGTTGGAATACCAGACTCGACAAGTATATGAAAGGGTACGAGCTCCGTTTCCATGAGCTCATCCTCGGTCTTCTCAATCACCGGGAGAGCAAGATGCGAATCTATGTGGGTATCCCCATGTCCGGGAAAGTGTTTCGCGCAAGGGGCGACACCCCCTTGCATCAGGCCACGACTAACTGCAGAAGCATATTTTGCCACCTCATCCGGATCTTTGCGAAAGTAATCCACCCTTATGAGCGTCTGGTACGATGTATTTATATACAGCTTACCGTCACCGAAGGATCTGACCCCTAAGTAAGCGGTCAAAACAACAGAAGAAAACGTTGGCATTTGTTCACGCAGAGACTACATATTAGCCCACCTATGACTGGGTTTTTGGGGTTCGAGTTAACATCCGCGACTGGGCTGTATGCCCAATTAATTCCGGCGAGCTTCATCTCCCGGGCAGTAGCTGCAGAACACTCCTCTGCGATCTCTGGCGAGCCCGTTGCAGCGAGTGCCATCGCACCAGGACTGTTACAGCAAAATGTTTGGAATAGAAGCCTGGTGAGGTGATACCCAGGGCTGCCAACGCTGACACGAAACTCACAACTGGGTTCCTGCAGTGGAGCTAGTAAATGCAGAGATGAGACCTAGTGTATCCCGTTAAGGTCGAGGTGTTGAGGAGGATGAACATCATAAGGGCAAATGAGTGACGCACCGTTCTCTTGATCGATCCCGATCATGAGCGGGCGAGAGTGCCCAGACTCCTTCGCGAGTTGCTGTAAACTCTGCACCAATCGATGGACTTGCTTCACATCTACAGACGTATCATTGTCGTCCGGAAGGTTTCCAGACGAGAGGCAAGTTGGTGTAACTGTTGGATCTGTCTAAAGCTCTGACTTACCTTGCACATTCCTCTTCATAAGGATGATGTTCCTGAAGTCCCAAGTCTTATCATGCACCCCTACAGTCACTGCACGCGAAAGACACTCGCCCTACGTGATAGTCGCGAATGAGGACCTTGACATCCTCGCTGATCTCATGGCCATGGAAGCCAAACACGAAGTGCTTCCATAACTGTCAGCCATAGACAACACCCCCCCATTGCACGATGGCTTCACCTGTCCGATTTCGCGTTTGTCTGCAGATGTCAGAGAAGTCATGACAGAGTTCCAGAAACGCTGAGTCTGTGCGTGCATGCATGAGGATATACAAATCAAGATAAGCCCAAACGAGAGTTTTCACTTCTTGAGAACTACTAAGCCTATTACCTGCGCTCTGTGGGTATTTACTACGTAGTTTACTTACAGCGTATCGACGAGGGTACTGCTGGACAACGAGCATCCAATACGTGTCCAAAATTCGCATTCAGAATCAGTCCGGTTCAACAACTCCCAACTCAGAGCGGGAACGTCCCATCCAACCTGAAGTCTCTACTACTTGCGCCGATCGAAAACCCAATGGTTCCATTCGGCTTCGCCCACCCCTGCCTGACAACGTCCCACACCGACAGATCGTACCGCGAGATCGTAATGGAAGCCTGCCCAGTTTGGCCAGGCACCAGTTCAATATCGGTAAAACCTTTCAGGACAGAAGGAGGCTCCCCGGCGGATGGAGGGTGGTGCACATACAGTTGAGGAATCTGAAATTATCGGGTGAGGATATGATACAAGGGTCGCAAAGGTTTGATCATACCTCGCCTCCGTATACCGGTCCAGTATTCTCCACGTTGAACGTCACCTGGAACAAAGGCATGTGAAGCCTGTGTTGTTTATGATGGTCAATGAATACCGGGGGATAGAACAGTGAAGACCGACATACCATAATGCAGTCGAAGATCCTTCCTCAATGGGCGAGGTGCCCCCATTCTCCCAGTTCTGGATCAATTCTGCTTGAGCAGAGTCCACAGAAGCGTCAACAGGTGTAACAACGAGTTGGGAGTATTCGAACGTCGTGTAGCTCAGACCATACCCGAATTCATAGCGTGGGGTAATGTTTTGCTAAAGATGTTACGAATTAGCACTGTGCTCTCTCTAGGTGCAATCAAAGGCAGCTAGGTAAGTTCACTCACGGCGTCGAACCAGCGATAGTCAATGTACAGGCTGCAATTCATCTTGTCATCAGGAGAACCAAACTTGAAGTAAATCGAGCGCACCCTTCGGTATAGTCTATGGATAGAATGTCCGTTGCAGTACCCCCGAGGACGAGCTGCGCCGAGTAATCGCTTGCATTTTTTGCGATGGTATACGGAAGACGTCCGGACGGGTTCCAGGCGCCATAGAGAATATCCACGATCGCGTTTCCGGCCTCGTTACCTCCAAGACTTGCCCACACAATCTACGTTCCCGTTAAACATATCGGAGTCAGACTGTGAGTAACGTATTCCATGACCTTCGGAAGGAGCATCGCTCACAGCAGTGACATTGGGATGGTCAACCCATGGCTCTATAATGAGCGGTCCGACACTGTTCACGACGACAATAGTGTTGTTGTTCTGTGCAGCAACAGCTAGAACAAGCTCGTCGCCCTCATGCCATGCTGTCAAGGTTTTTCCTGTCTCCTACATTTCCGTCGACGGTGATGTAGCCCTATTCACATCAGTAAGCAATTCCGCGCAAGCACTTGTCCAAACAATGGGGCGCATACACACCTCGCCAGAGTCGGAGTTGATGAACACAATCGCAACTTCCGCAGTTATGACAGAATTGCCAGCCTGGTCAAGGTTCCAGTTGTCGAAGTCCCAAAAGACGCTAGTCTGATCTTGTCTCGCACGTGCTTGGATGGCTTCGTAAGGCTGTGGACCGTCAACCAAACAGATTCGAAAACTAAAAGCCTGCACATACAGATACCAAGTAGGTGAAATTTGTAGTCCTATATAATAATGAGTTCCATACCCCTAGTGTCTCGTCAGGATGGACGGGAAACTCACCCAGATCCCCATCCCAGGGCCAGAATGCCTGTCGGGTCACCACCCTGATCAGAGTATTCGTTCGGTCCCGAAACAGGTGGAGCCGCGTCGCTGCCGACTAGCACGACACTCCTTGGCTTATTTAACGGCAATGCGTTCATCTCGTTCTTGAGCAGTACGGTTCCCGCAGCCCCGATCTGTCTCACGAGCTGGTAGTGGTCCGATTGTGCATTAACCTCATAGTTCAAAGGGTTATACGGATGGAAGGAATCAATGGTGACATTGGGGTAGCCCTGATCTTGGTGCATGTAGTACCAGGCTGCGATGATCCGCGTTGCCATATCATCGAGTCGCGCTTCGGAAATAGTGTTGTTCATAACGTAGGCAGTGAGGTTGGCACCAAAGTATGTCGTGCCGGATCCCAAGGTGATGTCACCGGCCATAGTCATCTTTTGATGTTTTTGTTAGAATGTTTAAGGGCGAAAAAATTACAGCTGGCTGCACATACATCAAGACCTGCCACCGCTGAGAGTGTGTTCATAGTGGCAGCCCAATCAGACATGACGTCTAGACGAGGATAAGTTAATCGCGTCATGATATCAATCAGTACAATAGAAACTTACAGCCCTGGAAACCAAACTCGCGCTTCAAAATATCGCTGAGGATTTTATAGTTGTTGCAAGCATAGGTATCATTGACGAGGTCTGTGGAGCTGCCGTCAAGCTGGGACATTAGACAAATCTAATGCAGGAGCTTACTATAAGAACACATCACGGATGAAACGCCAGCCATGACAGAACGCAAGAACGGGTGCGCGTAGATCTCGTGTTCAGTACGATCGTCGACGTTGGACGACTCCTGAGTACGCTTCCACTCTTGCTCGCTGCACAAGAATGTCACGCCCCTTTTCACTCGGGAATCATACAATGATAAACTCACTTGTTGATGTAGTGCTTCGCCGTGGCTTGAACACCGGCTTGTTGCAAGCCAAGAATTGTCTCGTACGCCGCCTCACCGGTGAGGAAGGGGTCTGCACCAAAGCCTTCCCAGTTGCGCCCGCCTTGTGCTACACGACCCATGTTCATCATTGGTCCAAGGGCAATATTGACACCTTTCGCGTGGAATTCTTGACCTAATGCTAGGCCACGCGCACGAATCAAGGCGCGATTCCACCTAGAGCAAATAGTCAGTGGGAATCCACAAATGGAGAGACGGGGTCGCGTACGTAGACGCAGTAGTGACGCCAGCGGGGAATGTGGTTACAAGATCAGTAAACCGCACGCCCAAAGGCGAATCCTAGAGCATGCTTTTCAACAAACTGGTAGAAAAGACAAGGTGAAACGGACCTGAAGACACAATCCGGGGAACTCGGCGACAGAAGGGATGTTCCCAACGCAAAGGCCATTCATCCATCCAACGCCAGTGGTTATATTGACCTTCTGTTCGATGGTGAAGTTGGCGATCTGCGTGGACAAAAGTGTAAGCACGTTGCTTAACAGGTGTTTCCTAATCGAGTGAACGTGGTACAAACCATTGATTTTGCTTTCTCGTATGCAGTTGCCCATGCAGGAGCGAAGTCCGGCACGACATTAAAGTCTGAACTGACTGGGGGAGGGTTTAGAGGATCTGTTTCGGGGAATATAGGTGGGATGGGAGCAAAGGTTGGAGTTGGGAAAGGAGTGAAGGGATACTCTGAAATGGGCCAAGTGAGAGGGCCAGTCTCGGTAGCGACAGAAGCTGGTGTTGTAGAGGTGGTAGTGACTGAGGTCACCGTTGAGAATGAAGAGCTCGAACTTGCGGTGGTGCCCGTTGAGGTGTTAGTTGGGCTCACTGCACTACTCGGCACCCCAGAAAACGAAAACGAAGACGTCGAGTTGGTGAGTGACTGGACGGCGACGACATGCACCACGGCGAGCAGCCAAGCCCTCAACGTTGGGCCCATCACGACGCTCGACTCTACCGATGGGTGTAGGACAAAACAACATGGCCGGTTATAACTACCCCCAGATTACGCGACCCACGCGAGGTAGGTAAGGAGTCCAGGCTAGCCATTTCCAAAAATAATAACGATTCCCCCAACAGTCTACCTTCGCTGAGCTGAAATAAATGAATGCACCCAGTCCCAGAGATTGAATTCTCCCGAGGATATTCCGGCAGGGTGCATCACTCACAAGTGGCGCGCGTTCCCGCCTTTGAGGCAATGAAAAACGACACCGGTGACCAGACCATGTCGTGGTGCGAGGCCCGGCAAGTACATATAAGCCCAAGCAGAGCTGCGCAGCGGGCTCCTCATGATGACGTGAACGACACAATGCGTTGATGCGCCACCGCAATATCCGCATTAATGTCACATCACCGTCATCCATACGGTACTTGTTATCGAGTTTGTACCGAAGTTACCCACCGTCTTCGTAATTACACATCATGTAGGGAGGTCGATAGAGAGAAAGTACATAGTTAATTGAGATCGAGACTCATCCGAGGATCACGAGTCACTTCGTCTGATAAGTATTGCTTGGGAGACTGAGACGAAGACAAAAACTGGCACGGAAGTGGGGCGCAGATGTGTTGGCGAGTCCCAGATCATACCGCAGGGCTAGCTTGCGTAATGGGCGTTGCACTCCACCATTGCAAGTCCAAAGTAGCGGTGGATTCCATTGTAGCTAGTACTACCTGCTTGCCTTCGTTGCTGGTCGGTCAGGAGAATCGATCCGCCACTGAAAGAAAGAGCTGATCCAGATGGGGCATATGGCCCTGGTCACCATCACTAATCAAAAGCATCCACGCTTGCCACCAACGAAGTCGTGGACTGAAGATATCATCTCCTAGCGATCTTTCGGCAATTTCAGTTAAGAGTTGAGCAGAACACACTGACATGGCTCAGCTAATCTATCGTCATTTTCTCTCGGCTCAGTCAAACGGGAATGGGCTACGGGACCACGGAGTATGTGCTTACCTGTTGAGAGCACTCCGCACTGAGGGACATTGATTCACCTATCAATGGCAGATTTGGAATGATACGGGATGCACGTTGGCCGTGTCTCTACAAGATCTACTTCCTTGGTGACTCGATCGCGTAGTTCCATAGAGACAAGGGGTATCGAGAGCAAAGAAAAGCAGGATCCTCGCTACTCGCTGTGGCCAGGTTTGGGATAAACGACCCCTATCTTTCGAAGAGGCGTTCGTCGTCTTAGGTTACCTCGTCAAGTTATCCACGATCGAGAAATTTACTTGGCACGAGTCTCTGAATAAACGTACTTTTCTGGCATAATATTGTTGGCCATTCCTCGTTCGTTCTCGTTTGTCTAAGATTCGGATATGCCAATAAAAGGTGGGGAGTTTTGAATTTGCTGGCGCAACTTTGGCCCTCACTCGCCGCCGCAATTTCGCCCTGAACGTCAAGGAGATATTCGGTGTAGATACTGTGTGCCCAGAGTGTCGCTGTCACGTTCAGATGGGTGGAACTGGTGACCAGCTGGGCGTGTTTGGCCTATCTAGGAACGGCTTGGGTCATGTGGCTTGTCAAGGGCACCCGCCAGGCTGGTGCAGTCGAGATCGTTTTGAATCTGGCAACGCCTCGTCGTCGTCGTCGGTGACCACCGCTGATAACCAACGCTGGTGTGATCGGTAAGTAATCGTAATCGACAACGTCGGCGCATTTCGATCGAATACTAATAATCTCATCTCGACAGGTCCATCTGTTATCCTGCATATGGCTCGTCAACTGGATGCCGACAATATCAGGGTACGCCCGAGGTCGAACACGACCACCTTCCCATCCTTTGGCCCCTGGCGAAGACCAAGGCAAGAGACCGTTGCATCGCCAAACCCGCCCCAGCTTCACACACTCTCGTTCGATGCCCTCGTCGAGTCGCTCTCACCCCCAGCAGTACCCAGTCTCACCCATGCGCGTGCCCTCGCGAACGCCATCCAATCCCTGTCTCCTCTTCCACGTCCAGCTGTCCTGAACCCCGTATTGGGGTCTTTATGTACCGCAGATTCACCAGCATCACTCCAGTGTGCCGCATACGACATCATGACCGCGTTCTGGGAGAGGTACGAAGACAGAGTCAGCACAGCTGACAAGCTTTCGTACTTCACTCTCATCTTGCACTCATCCTGGTCCACCGAAGTAGGCGAGTCGCGTCTCAAAGCTCTTGGCGCTCTCACCAAGGACGGAAAGGACGTATTTGGCATGGAGATCCCCGTTCTCAACGTTCTTAAGAGTTGGCTACAAGGTGCTTTCGATGTCTACATATCGTGCGATCCTTATGACCGCGCGGAACGCGAACGAAGTGTCGAGCTTCTCGCCTCTTATGTCTCTTCTATGCTCGACAACCCTGAGACCGCTGCACGCGTTTCCGAGGGTGACTTAGCCACTATCCTCCAATTCTATGCGAGTTTAGTGTCAACGGCACTTGGTCTCCCTCCACCAGTCTCTCTGGGTTATGAGGGTGCTCCCGTCCTTCCGCCCACCGACCAACAGCCTCCAAGTGCTAGACCCGTGGGTGCAAGTGGGCATCGCCGCCATCCGTCCTCACTCTCTTTGCGGTCCCACTCGCAAGTCAATACGCCAACAGGCAAACATCCCGCGGAGCTCATGGTCACCATCTACCTCAATCACCTCGATTCCCAGCTCAAGTCGCTCGCACCGCGTATCCTTTCGTCCATCCTTCCCCTCCTCTTCTCTGTACAAGCATACTTTGCCTTGCCACTTCCCCGCCTTTCAGTCATGAGCGGACGTCCGCTCGGTCTCACAGGGCTGGAGGACAGGATCCAAAAGACCCTCCATTCGCTCTTCGCAGGACCGTACGGAACCACTTGCATGATGATTCTCAAACGACATCTGTCTCCGCCTCCTTCGGACCAGGATGCCGCGAATCCAACGTGGTATGCAACGTCGCTCGGCGCACACAGGACTCTCAGAAACGACATTCGACAGGGCCTTTCGAGTAAAATGGCGAGGGCTTATATCGCGAGGCTTAGCTCAGTGACGTATTCGCCTTCTGGAGCACCCAGTCAGATGGATCTTGAACGGGACCTTATGGAGCGTGCGTGGTCCAAAGATGAACTTTCGGGATGGGACCTACTCAAGCTTGAACGAATGCTATCTAAATCGATTGAAGCATGGGCAAGACGTGCTGCCAGTGAGCAGTTGGCCGTACTCGCTGACGAGAGAGATAGGATACTGGACGAAGCTGCGGGAACGCTGAAGGATATTTTTCAGGAGCTGGGTGAGCGCGACGATCGTGTTGAGTGGGATGAAGAGGAAGCAACAGTTACTGGCGAATCACTCAAACATCTGGCAAGCGTCGTCCGCCCTCTGAAGTGCGTGCCCTGTCGACATACGTGTTGATGGTTTTCTCATGTTCCTTAGAAACGCTGATGGCACACCGTTCACAATCCCACTCTCCCAACCAAATGATTCCCCTCGTCCGTTTCTCCGGACACTTGCTTCCCTTCTTGCTCAGGATCATTCGACATACATGAACCCGTCCCTGTCCATGACGCTTTTATCGATAGCTGAACATCTCACCGATGCAGACACGGCGAAGTTACCCGGCATCATGCTCGAACAGCATGACTTATCACCCGCCTCGCCGGCCTGGTTGACCAACTGGGACAGCATCCTCTCTAACGAAACTATCTTCTCTCCTACCCGACTTCTGACGAGGCTGGAGGTGATGAAAACTCTACAGGCTGTGTACGACTCCTTGAGAGACTTGCATATTTACCGGATGGCTCTTGCGGAGCTCGTATTCAAGTTTTGTGAGCGCGAGGCGAGCGTGGAGGGGTGTGTCGAGGATTTCGCCACCGGGTGTGGATGTTCGGTCATGCCGAGGATTTTGGCAGACGAGGTCGTCTTGCGGACGGTTACTGTGCGGCAGAAACCTTCAGAATCTCAGATGGGGGCTTCGCTTTCGTCTGCGTCCTCTACGCGGGTGCCTGACAGCTCTTCTTCGCCTTCTACATCAACGTGGGAGATGCTGGAGCTGTTGAAGTGTATCGCGGGAGAGGGACCCCAAGAAGATGATGACGATACAGTTGCGGTGAACACATCAACCGAGCCACAGTCTCCTGCTGCCTTTAGTGCATTCTCGGGTGCATCATCATCCAGTGTCGCCTCTCCTATTCTGTCGAGGAGGCAATCCGAGTATCGGAACCTATCCTCAAGGGACTCTGCACTTCCTTCCGTGATGTCGCTGCTCTCCACATTAGCCGGAACGTCCCGTACTCAGTCGCAGGTTCATTTGCAACAGGACCAACAATCTCAGAGTGACGCCGTACCACCTCTCTCGCAGCCACTACTGTCACAACAGCAACAAGTCCTTTCGCCGTTACCTCTGTCACCCACTGAACCTATCCTCTCTCATGCCTCCTTCGCCGTGATTGCGCTTGTGACCGTCTTCAGTCAGCTTGTATTTACACCATACTCACTCTCACAGGCCAACATCGACGTGGCTTTCTCCGTGTTTACTGCCCTCGTAGAAGTTGTTACGAACGGCAAGTGCCCGCGCGCAAGACTGACCGCCCTCCAGTTCTTGATGCGCTTACGTGCGGACAGAGACCATCGGCTGTATTTTGCAGAAGCACACTATGATATAAACGGGCAAATTACTAAATTGGCCTCCGTGATTGGGCGGGGGCCAGACTCTGCCAGCCAACTCTCCAGTCACGGACATCATCAGCGAGAGGAAGAGCGTGGTCCATTGCATGAAACACCTGTAGACGAGTTGCCCTCCAGAAGACCGAGGGAGAGGGACGAGAGGAGGTTCTCTCGAGGACGGGGTGTGGGACCTTCGCAGAGCGGATCGAGTAGGAGTACGTCCCGTGCCCGCTTGCCTGTTTCGCCTCCAGCGTCGGCTGCCCTTCCACAAAGACCAGCGAGGGATGTTCTCTGGTCCGTTCCCGAGAACTTACCTTTTATCGGGGTAGAGACGGATGCGCTCAGTGAAGGTGCCGTGACATACGATCCCGACGGCGATTCTCCTTGCGTGTTGGAAGTCGACATATACCTCAGCGCTTTGTTGAGTGTGATAGAAAAAGAGAGAAACTGGGACGTTCTGTCTTACGTTCTATGCCATCTCCCCATTCAATTAGCTAACAAGCACTTCTTTTGCGGTCCTAAATGCCGCGCGCTCATCCCGAAATTACTCAATGTTCTCTGTTCAGGTGTCACCAGCGGAGAACTGGGATCTTACATCGACCGTTGGCCTCCTGGTTTGAAGGTGCGCGATGCACATGGGCTCGCGTACCAAACGCTTTCCGTCCTTATTAGCTACCGACGCTGCCTTGATATTCCACTTCGTCATGCCCTTGTCGACGTGCTGAGGGAGGGTCTCAATGGTCAACCCTCTACAATCTTAATCTGCCTTCGCGGCCTCACGTTGTGCGCCTTCGAACTCACGTCTTCGCTCAAACGGACATTCCCCCCTCTCCTCGAAAAGCTTTCCCAGATCATGTCCAACCCGGCCATGGCTGTCCATATCCTCAACTTCCTGGCCATCACTGGTTCGATTACCGAGTTGCATGCTAACCTACGAGAGGACGATTTTAAGATGATCTTTGGCGTCGCTTTGCAGTATCTCCAGCACCACAATCGCCCCGGTGCCGCCCCGATTATTTCTTGGGCTATGTCTCAATTCGTCCGGATGATCTCTTTCAACGTCGTATACGTATGGTTTCTGTCGGTCAAGCTGTCGGATCGGCCAAGGCATATCCCATACATCACTCGACAGTTATTGTTGGCGAACGAAGGGAGGGCAGAAGTGGACGAGCCGACCGAAGTATGCTTTGACTGGTTGGCGAGGTACACATACGCTAGTGCGGACCCCCGGCCAACCAACTCGGTCCTCAGCGAGATCATTATGAATCCGACCAATAACCCCTCAGACACTGCATCAGAACCCGCCGTTAGTGAGAAATCGTGGATAATGGGTAACGCAATTGTCACCATTCGAACCCTTGCTCGGTTGGGTTGGATTGAAGTGATATCTCGACGGCCGTCTGGGTACACCAAGTTCTTGTGTAGACTGGAGAATGTTCCTCTGGTTGGCCCTGGAGATGTGGATCCGGACATGGTCTCGCTGCCAGCTGGAATACTGGCTGAAAGGGAGGAGACGAGACCTCACCCACCTATTCCTGAAGACGAAGGGAGCCGGGTGACAAGTGAAAATGAGGTAGGCGACATTTCTGTTTCCGTAATTTTGTTCTGAAGCGGATCTTATTATATACAGGACATTCGTGGTGTCGTTGAAGAGCGTCCTGGCACTGAGGGTCCTATACTTCCAGTCCCGGACCCGATTACGGGGTATGTGTGGAGCAAAACAGCTCCATCACAGCGACGGAAGCACGTCACAGTTGATCCCTCGTTCTTTGCGCTCCAACTTTCACCTTATCCCGATCCTTCTCCGATGTGCAAACGCGTTATCGACCCGTCAGCACTACCCAGCCTATTTCGGTCGCTGGAGCGCACACCTGTCATCGACACCCACAAAGTGGGAATCTTGTACGTAGCGCCTGGCCAAACTCACGAGCTAGAAATTCTCCGCAATACGCATGGTTCTCCGGCATACACGCGCTTTCTAGAGGGTATCGGCCGTTTGATTAATTTACGCGGTCAGGTCGATGTTTATGCCGGTGGTCTGACGCCGGACGAAGACGGGGAATACGCATATGCGTGGTGGGATGACATTGCGCAGGTCCTGTATCACACAGCCACGATGATGCCCAATGTGCCCGACGACGAGTATTGCGTGAATAAAAAGCGGCATATCGGGAATGATTATGTGAGGATCGTTTGGAACGACTCGGGAAGGCCATATCGCTTCGATACGCTTGCAACTCAGTTTCAGTTCGTGAACATCGTCATCGAACCACATTCTCAGGGAGCTATTGCTGCGTTTTCAAACTTCAGGCATTCCACCGTCCCCTCCACGCAGTCAACGCTTGCTAATCCATCTCTTTCTCCTCCGTCTCAGCTCCACGAGCTCGAGAATGAATACTTCAAGGTGACGGTGCAGCGTGCACCCGGGATGAAGGACTTTACCCCAATCGGGAATTTCAAGCTGATATCCGCAGAGAAGCTCCCTCTACTAGTCAGGCAGCTGAGTTTGCTTTCGGACCGGTTCGCGAGCATGTTCGAGCGCACCGAAAGGGACGAAGTGGAAGTGGAAGTCATCACGAATTGGCGACAGCGGCTGCAAGTCGTCAAGAGGTTCGTGGAAAAAATGGACGAGTCCTCGCCCGGCGAAGAAGGCGCAGGGGCGGAGCATGCGGGAGCGGAGGGCGTTATGGCTCAGGAACAGTATCGGAATTTCACCGCTGTATACTGAGCCCGTCTGGAGCTGCGCCTTTGGCGTGCGTTACTTTAAAGGGACTCCGGGGGAAGAATTCGGAGGCAAAAGGACCTAGCGAGGTCCGTCTTTGTTCTGTCTGCTTGTACGATGGCATGTATAATCACGATTTTTATGTTCGTCCACTGCCTTTCTGCTCGACATACCTGCGTCATCTCATCTTTTTACGGTCGAGTTACTACAATGCATCACGTATACAACACGTAGTACTTTGAGCTACGGCCTTTGAGTCCCAGTACACTATGTGATGGCCACGATTGCTACTCTTTCTTGCCACCGCCACTCGATCGCATGCAAGTCAGGTCCATCCACCCTGCGAACAGGTAGTATACATTGCATCGGGATGGCTAACCAGGTTGACATGTGAGCCTGCGCATGCTATCCGGCATAAATCTACATAGTACCAACCGAAAGTAATAATAAAGTAACGATAATACTTATTGTACGCATATCGTCTTTACAATACCCAGATATGATCCACTACATAACACTAAGTAAGATCGATAATATCATCTAACGCCGATGAACTTGGTCGCATTCCGGAAGTAATTCTCGTTGAAGTTGTAGCAACGGAGGTGGCTTTACTCGCACTTCTCTTTGCTCGAGCCAAAAGAAGCGGAGGTTCCCTAACTCGTCTTACCTGTTCCGTCTCCTTCGTCTCTGACCCATTCACCGCGACGTCTTTGGACATCCTATCTAAACCGAGGTCCACCTTCCCTTTTTTACTGCCAACTACCACTGTCCCGGGGGCGCCACCAGGTCTGAACTTTGAAGTACGGACACACGGGGGTGGTGGTTCGGATTCTGGTTCGGAGAGAACAGGCGGTGCGGACAAGATCATTGCCACGTCGGCGTCGCCTCCTCCGATCTCGTCAGTGTTGTCCTCGTCTTCAGACCCGCTTGATATCCAGATCACGTCATTCAGTACATTCCCCGTCGGAATCTGCGTAGTTGAAGAACTGGGCGCCGGATTCAACAGTCGCCTACTAGCAGGCTCTTCAGCGTGTGGACTGGACAGGCTATCTTCGGGCGGCAGACGTGTTACCAGCAACGTTGGCGACGACGGAGTGCCCAGATCGCGGGCAGAGCGAGGTTCACGTGCATGCGGTGATCTATGGGCTGGTGACGTTCGCAGGGACTTGGCATTGGGTGGGGTTTCAGAATCCGACAGTACCTCAACAGTATCGGAACCTTTTGGTAACAGAGACTCGTGACACACTCCAGTCAGACTATCGGATGATCTGCAGAGTGAGTACATCCTTGATAGTCGACAAGAGCGCGATACGCAGAGGAAAGTACTGACCTCGGAGCGCCAAAAATGTCAGTGTTTGGTGGTGTCTTCTGTCTATCTTGCAAATCCGAAGGAGTTATTACCGGAGGGGGCATCGGAAAAGGGCGTGGGGTCAATGGCCGACCCTTTGATGTAGCGGGGGAAGTACAGGTAGACCAAGACGTCCCAGATGGATCTTCATGTTCTAACGTGTCAGAAAGAAGGCTAATATGTGCGAGTTTAATCGGAGTGGCGAGTTTAGAGGACGCCTTAGGACCTGTCCTGCCCTTTGACACAGAAAAGAAATCCGTTACCGCAACCTGCGTTCTACTCTCCTTAACAACGGGTGCGTTCACCGCGACAGTCGTTCTGACCTCAGCAATCTCAACTTCATCTGAGCTTACGTCAATATATAGCCGTGGTTTGCGAGCAACAATCGGTTTTTGGGCAGGAGCTACAGGTCGTGGAACACACGTCGGCGAAGAAATACATTGCGTAGAGGCTGATTCCACTCCCTCCGCCTGAACTGCGGGGGGCTTCGTTGAATCCTTCGATTTCGCATTGGTCCTACGGCGTAAGACCTCAAGAGGACGAATACATGCCGATTTCGCGGGCAGCGAAGGCTTAGCTAGCGGATAGTCCTCTTCGGATTTGTCGTAGGAAGGCGGACGTAGATTAGGCCTGCAGGTTACTCGCTCGGCGACTACAGGACTCGTTGGGGGGAAGGAGTCTTCCACGGTTGGTCGTGGTTCGGGATGCCTCTTTATCGTTTTTGCGCGAGCAGTAGTCCTGCTCCTGCCCTTCGCCTGCACCGGTTCGTCCTCAGAGCACGTACTTGCATCACTGAGGTTAATGTATTCGTAACCCTCATCTTGCGCTTCTGCCGCACCCTTTGGTTTCCGACGACCCTTGCTCGCAAATCGTGTTGATTTGCTCGCTGTCGTGGCATGGTGCACCGTCGAAGAGGCGTTGGCGGTATTGACTGTAGTCACTTTGGACTGGGCGCCCGCCTTCTCAGTACCCGACTCTTTTGTACGTTTCCGCGCCTTCTTCTCGGCCCGTCGTTGCGCTTTCGTTTCATATGCATCAACTAGACCAGGAACCACAGCTCGCACCATCACAGCCGGCAGCCACAAACGAAGCGACGCCGTGGGTGAAACAGGTGCAGATTGCGTGCGCTTAGTTCGCTTCTTAGGCCTTGGATTGTGCAGCTGTCTCGAGTCGCTCTAAAGCGGTGTCGTTGTCGTCGGCAGCGGCTTCGTCGTCTTCAACTTCTTCGTCGCCTCCGTCCTCAGAGGCTGACGGGACATCAATTGGTGGGCGGATACCTCGTACACCGGATGCCGCACGATCTGCGAGTGCCGATGGATCGATGAGCACTCGGTACTCCGGCATGCCGTCTGTTGAAGAGTGCTCACGGATGGAAAGCACATCCATCACCAGCGAGGACTCGCGCTCTATATCATCATCGGACTTTTCAGAACCGTCTGCAGGGCGAGAGGAAGGCGGGGAGGGGGACGGGTCGAGACGAAATAAGGCAAGTGAAAAGGGCATGGATGGAGGAGGGGGGACACCCTCCGCCGCGTCACCTTCCGAAGTTGATGGACGCACCTGGGGGAGAGCGCCTGCCACAGAAGACTCAGAAGCAATCACCATTGGAAGACTGGTAGAGCCGTCCTGATCACAATCTGACACCGCCTCGGCGTCGATGACTCTGCGTCTAAGAGCCCTACACACGATACCTGGCCATAACACGGTTCTGAAACGTTTCATAATGATATCCTTGACACCCCATTCGAAATACAGTTCACAGAGGGAAGCTATCTGTGCTGGATCCGGATCGCTTGGCCACAAAACGGGAGGTGGGGGATGCCGTGGTCGCTCCGTTTCGGACGTGATCGGAGAAATATATGACAAGAGGACGGGAATAGATGGGAACGAGTCTGGCAGAGAAGCTGCAAGAGAAGGCTTTTTGGACGGTAAAAAACCACTCTTGTTTGACTTGAGTTCTGCCCTTATCTGGTTGCGCCATTCGCTCAGAAAGTTGTCGAGTTTGTCTGCCTTGAGTGTAGTGGCAGCATGCATCAAAGATTCTCCAAAACCTGCACGAGCAAGCCCTACAGCGAAGGCCTTTCCACAGCCTGGAAGCCCTGCCGGTATGTAATCGCCTCCAGAGAGAAGGGCAATAAGAATAGTACCCCCACGAGTGATTTGTACGTCCGGGTGAGTTGAAAGAGAGGAAGCACGATAAGTTAGCACGTGATTACCGTCATCTTTGCCCTCTGAATTTTTGACGGGGTGCGAGCGATTACCAGAAAGCGTGCTGCTTGGACTACGTTGCATTAGCCCTCACAAATGATTGAAGAAAAGATTGAGACACACTTGCGGATGACCATAGTGGCGCCGAAGAGAAAGTTGTCTACATCGTCCGACAAAACAGCGTCGATGACACCAATTCTGTTCAGGTATGCAAGTTCAGCTTCTGCTTCACCGGGTGCCATTCTCCATTCAAAGCCAAACGCCTGGATGATGTTCTTCATACCCGTTGTGAGCCAGTGCGCGTTTCCACCGACACGTTTGCCGCGTTTGACGGCGGGACGTTTGGGTCCGTCAAACACAAAGAGGGGGAGTAGGGGAGATTGAAGAAGTCGACAACATCGAAAGAAAAGCGTGCGCAGCTCCGGGTTTTCGCCTTCTCTTCCATAGGCTGCATGGAAGAACCAAATAGACGCGTCAATCCCGATTCGAAATCCTCGTCGGCCGCCCGGATTCGCGACAAATCCATCTGAGACTGCAAGGTCTGTCAGAGAGCGAACCTCAGCAGCTGGTCGAAGAACCTGAACGGGAATTTAGTTTCTGGCGTCATGTCTGCAATCGTCGCACACTTGCCTCCCACAGTCCTGCAACACCCATCCTTGTCCGATGCCACTGCCACTCAGGGATTCAAAACGCGTGGGTAGTCACTAGCACGTGATTTGGCTATGGCTCACTTCATTAACAACTATTACTTACTTACACACCTGCGTGGATGACGAACGCGATTACTAGGGACCTGGCCTCGTTTACTATCAGCACTCCTCGATTTGGCTTGGACCATGAGTCGTGACAATATCCTCGTTGTCCCCTTGCCCCGCCAGCGTCAAACCCTTGTTCGACACCTACCACTACTTCAAGTCGCATCCTCTCGTCCATATGGGTACGCGCAATGTCGTCCTCCTTGGAGAAGTAGGGTCTGGGAAGTCGTCCATCGTCAATTTAATCGCCGGAAAGGAAGAAATCGAAATATCCAATGATGTAGACGGCGGGACTCTTAACGCCGCGTGCTACACCCTGAACTTTGGCTCGAGCGACGTCCGGGTGAACCTTTGGGATACACCAGGATGGAACCCGGCCAGGGAAGAGAATAAGAAACAGGGGAAATCCACGAAGGAGATTGAACACCTCTTAAAGACCCTACACGCTGCTGAAGGAATACACCTTCTCCTTTTTTGCATGCGGGCGGGACGGGCGACAAATAACCTACTCGAAAACTACAATAACTTCTACTCGAAGCGGGCTTGGCGTAAAACTCCTGTTGGTCTTGTCATAACTCACCTCGAGCGGTTTGAACCAAACATGCATAAGTGGTGGGAGGATAATGGCAGGACGCTGGAACGCCAAAAACTCAAATTCTACGCGCATGCATGTGTGACTACTGCGGGCGACGAAAGGAGTGGCAAGGAGAAGATCTCGCAGAACATACTTCGGAGACTCGTTGTCCCAACTGAATCCCCGGACCATGGTGATTTTTGTCCGGTAAGTTCCTTCCTCCTGAGTCCAGTTCCGTTACGTAACCTAGCGAAGGGCTTAGAGAATGCAGTGCGAGAATCCGTGATCGCTGTCAGGACAGCGTCCTTGCATCAGTATACCCAAAGCACCGTGATAATGTGCGCTATCCTAACGTTTAGCGCCAAGATGTCCCCTTCACTGATATCTTTTCCTTAATAGCGTGACCGGTCCGGTAGGCTCTGGGAAGAGCTCTGTAAGAACTCTTCTTAGGCTTGACTTTGTCCTTAACTGAGAATAAGTTGTCAAGTTCATTAGTAGACTAGCCGGAATTCCAGAAGATAGAATCGGTGTCGGCCACTCCTTGGAGCCGTGTACATCCTGCGTTCGTGAATTCCGTTATGTTGATCAACAGAGTGGCAAGCGGGTCACCCTCCTGGACGTCCCTGGGTTCCTACATCCGTCACTGAACGACAAGAAGATTTTAAAGATGATTGCAAGCTGGCTGAAGAATGCGTGAGCAGCTTCCTTACTTGTGATACATGACGTGGTAATCACTTTGTTAGGTACAAAGGCAATGCCGCTCTTGCCGGTATCCTCTACCTTCATTCTGTCGCGCATCCGTTTATTACAGCCGTCTCCCCCATGAAGTTCTCTCCCCTCCGTAAGAAATGTGGAGGAAGCATTATATCAAAACTGACTCTTGTCACTACCATGTGGGACACCGTGTCGCAAACAGATGGCGAGGTGAGGTTGGCGGAATGCGAGAGGGTATGGCGGCCCGTACTTCGTCCAGGCGAACCAGTACCTCGATACTTGAACACGCACCAGTCCGCAAGGGAGATCATCCAGCGCCTTCTCTCGTCTTGAAGCGCAATCTGGCTGGCCTTGTCAGTTGGGATTCGTATGTGGCCGTGCTGGATGATGAACGAAATACACTCCCGAATTGACTGCAAACATCAAACTGCAGGCATACAAGGCAGCCAGCAATACTACAAATCTCAGGGACATATTTGCAACACACGGTCGGATGGGTTTTCTTGGTTGTTGAATTACCGTCCACGCAGGTGGTTGAGAACACCTAAGGATGCAGTCATCGATTATGTAATAGTTCTGCATGTGGGTGAGAATATACATATAAGTAATTTTTGTATTCGTACTGTAACCCAACTGTCATGATCTCGCGTAGTGATTATACAGTACCTGCTCGTTTAACGCTAACTGGACGAATGCTAGTATGTACTACTTAACGCTTCAAACTCATAAGTAGTGAGCATGACTCCCCATTTCTGCCTCTGCAACTTTCAGATTAGTACGCACAATAACTAGAAGCTATTTTCTGATCTTCGAAGTAAATCAACAAACGGATGGATGTCTCACAGATGGGGCTGTTCAGTACAGTCTCAACCGCCCTTGCAATGGCCGCATACCACACAGCCTATCGACAGACCTCCTAGTGAAATACTTGGCAGGCTGAATTCAGTCCTCCTGAGTTCCATACCAAACATGCATCGTTCAACCTCTAGCTCCTCGGCCGTCGTCATGTATAATACTGCCCTGTACAGCACATACCTTCGATAACTCCGGAACTTTTGAACCTGCCAGCAATATTTGGGCGAGGCCGATGGCGATGCGGAAGCACCAAAAAAGTATTGATTGGCATCTCGAGCTCTACCGGAACAGATGGAAACGCAAAGGAATGAAAACACAGCAGACTCACTAAGTTGACACCAACAGCCACCAAATATCCTATCGACCAGACAAGTGCTGCAGGGCCTCCAGAAAGTTGTAACCCGAAGAGTACGGTGGATACGGTTCCTAAAGCCCGGCCCCCGTTCTGGTCCCGGTAAGCCGGTCGAGTGCTCATGTCAGTTGATGCCGATAGTTCCGGAGGTCCCGACTGATCTGGCCGCATCACACGAGGCACGTGCCAGTGATTCCGGCTGCAGCCTCCGCTGCGTCAGGGGGAGACAAGCGCACACGACGACTTTCATCTCTCATTCCCGGAAAACATGTCAAAAACCTCGAACTTCAAGAGCCCAATGTTACAATGCAGGTTCTCGAGGAGAGAGACAGCATGGAGTCATGTCCATTAGAACTTCGGTGCTAAAGACGCCAGATCATCATCCCCTGGCATGACCATTGCATACTCGTTCAACATATGCAGTGGCGCTGAACGGAAGGCAGTTCCGAGTCTCGTTGCTATATTCCGAAACTGATAGCTTTCCAACCAAGATAGCCATCGCTTCGTAGCTGTTAGGCCACCGTCCTGGTCGGTATCCCGTCTCAGATATTCCTCCTACACCATTACGGGATGGAATTGACCAAGGGAAAGAGTAACAGGTAATACGAAGCTGTTAAGCTATCAGCAGAGTCTAACCCTCGGTGGTAGATCGTCATGGTTCCACCACTGGGTGCACAGTCCTGTTGGCTCCGTAGCCGTTTCACTGCAATTCACAGCGTCCCACGGGCCCGTATATAATCTCTTTTGATTTCACCAATGAAGCAGCAACGAACTCAGACACAATATGTCTTCCACCACTTCTACCATGCATACAGCGGCCTATGACAATCTGCTAGCGGTTTATCGTTCAACTTCTATCCTCAGTGTCCTCGCAGGCATCGCCGGTATCTTGGTTCTACGCAGTACCTTGCGCACAGTTCGAAGGAAACTCAAGACTACCAGTCTTCGCGGGCCACCTGGAACGCACCCCGTATTCGGGGCGTCGAAAGATCTCTTCGAGGCACCAGACACAGGGGAGATCTTTGAAACATGGGCCGAAGAATATGGTGTAGCATACGAGGTCCCAACGAGTTTCGGCGGGACGAAGATCATGCTCGTGCGATCCAAGAGCCCTCGCACATTACTACGCCCGGGAAACCTTGACATATGTGCTAACCGACTCGGCCAGAGTATTCCTCGAACGCGGGGTATGTTCCTCTCAGCAGTTTCTTGAGTGTTCCGCTTACATACAACTCGACATTTAGTTCGGGAGAGGAATACTGTGGTCGCACTGGAGACGATCACAAGAGGTAGCTTCAATATACCAAAACCAGAAATAACGTGCTTACCTTTGTTCCTCAGACAACGCAAATCCTTGTCGCCTGCATTCAGCCACGCCGCTTTGCGGAAGCTCGCCCATGTATTCTACAACTGTGCTCACAAAGTAAGCCGTACCAATGCTGCTTGATATGTTTTCGGAAACTAAGCAGTTGATGGCCTAGACGAAAGCCGGTTGGGACGCTCTGATCGACATGAGTGGCGGTGAAAGTGCTTTCATCGAAATTCAGGATTGGATGAACCATATCTCGTGAGCGGTTCGCGCTTGCATGTGTTGAAGCTTAGTCTGAGTACTTGCTCCAGCCTGGACACCATTGGCATGGCAGGGTTCTCCCATGAATTCGATTCTCTCGATGGTAAACCGGCCACGATCCAACAAGTGTTCAGTGCCTTCGACGCGTCGGCTAAGCAATCGTTCGTCGATGTTGCAGTTGTCCTCTTCGCAGATGTGTTCCCCGTGTTTTCTTACGTACCGGTATCTTGTGTTAAATCACTCACTGACATGCAAAATACGTTGTCGGGTATCGCAAAGAAACTCCTAGACAGGGTGGAGAAGGAAAAGAAGGAGGGAGTTATTGACGGCAAAGAGGACAAGTCGATCATCGGAGTGCTTAGTATGTCGTCTCACTACGATTGGATGTTAGACTTATCGAGGACCCCCTTTAGTCAAAGCTACTGAGGCAGAGGGCGGACGACATGTGACCTCAGAAGAAGTGCTGTCATCGGTGAGTAATGGTGATCCTACTCTTGGCAAATGATCGCTTACGGTCGATCACCAGATGAAAGAATTACTTCTTGCTGGTTACATCACTACATCGAGTGAGCCCCTTGTTTTGGAATGGCTTGTTAACCAGCCTAACGGTCTTTCCAGATAGCATGACTTGGGCATTGGTTGAACTTGCCCGTAACCCGGATATTCAAGGCAAACTGCGGGACGAGCTTTTGGCCTTCGGTTCTGAGCCAACGTACGACCAGTTGCAGAGTAGCCTGACACTTCCTTACCTCGACGCTGTGGTACACGAGTCCCTCCGCATCCATCCCCCCCTGACAGATTTTGTCCGCGTGGTAAGCCGACTTACAAACAAGTCATAATCCCTCCCTTTGACCTTCATATCACCTTCCCAGGCGACGGAGGACGACGTTATCCCTCTCTCGGAGCCTGTCATTACTAAGTCTGGCCAAGCCATCAATAGCATCTCTGTAGCACGTGGCACGAAAATCGGGCTACCGATGGCATGCATCAACCGATCCACTGCCATCTGGGGACCAGACGCGAAAGTCTTCCGCCCAGAGCGTTGGCTTGAGAAAGATGGTATCCCAAAGAAGGCACAGGATGTCCAAGGATACCGTCACCTCTTGACCTTCGCTGATGGGCCAAGGAATTGTCTTGGAAAGGGCTTTGCGGTATCCGAAATGAAGGTGAGTTTGGGATTGCTGCATAATCCATCAGGGCACTACTGATACACCTTTGCATAGGCGGTGCTGTCTGTGCTGGTGAAGAGTTTCGTGTTCGAGATGAGGGACGGTCCGAACACACAAATTGAGCTGTGCAGAGGAATACTACCCAGGCCCCGAGTAGTCGGTGAAGAAGGCGCGGCGATGCCATTGCGCGTGACCCGGTACGAGGGCTGTTGATTCATTGATGCAAATGGACAACGGCGGGGCCGTTATTTGCCGTGATATACTAGACTATCCTTAGCTTTCGCCGTTGATGGACGATCTATAAGTCAACTGCTACACATATACACTAGACCACGTATATACCATGATACCACAAAGCACTGGATGTCTTGATCTAATTTTATTAACTAGAATTGCTCCATAGCCTATTTTGCCCAATATACACACTTTTCCGTATTGTATCCGAAAACATCTTGAGTGGACTGTACGGAGGTCGCCCGAACTTACTGTAAGTTAGGGCTGACCAGCACGGATCCGAGCTCTGCATTTCGTTGCACAACTGCGGAAGCCCCCAGCGAATGTAGTCTGAGGCTCCGTCATTGACATCAGCGAAGCCATCTGGTCCGCCCCTCGCACTCTACCTCGGCGTACTCAAAAAGATACCGTCGGTGGTGATGTGTGCCATCCTCACATATAGCGCCAAGATGCTCGCCTCGCCAGTGGTATCTTTCCCCTAGCGTAACCGATCCAGTAGGCTCTTGAAAGAGAACTCTTCCTAGACTTGACTTCGCCATTGGCTAAGAATGTTCATTAGTAGACTGTCCGACACGGAAGGTGGTGCAGGTGTCGACCACTCCTTGAAGTATACATCCCGCCTTCACGCATTGGGTTATGTTGATCAACAAGGTGGCAAACTACTGGCAAACCCATGATCCTCCGGGCCGGACGTCCCTGGCATTCCGCATCCGTCACTGAGCGGCACGAAGAATTCGAAGATTCTAATGCTTCATACTTACAAACATTGCTAGCATGCCCCACTGCCCTTCGATGGGGGTTGTTGCAACTACGCAGCCTATCGATAGGCCCCTTAGTTCGATCCCCAAGTGGCTTATTAGAAGTCCAGGTCCTTGATCAGTGACCAAATATGGTCAAACTCCTAACTCAACCGGGCCCGTAACTTCAAGTCTACCCATTCCTCATCCGCGTTTGATGTTGTTCTGCCTAATCACCTTTCCCATTCGCTTAAACCTCATTTTCCCTACCCTATTCTGTTACGTTCTTCGTCCCCTCCTTATCATGCCGGTGATCGTGAAGTTGTAGAACGTAAACCTTCTTACGTAAGGGCCACTGGCTACGAAACTCAAAGTCGTGTTCATTTCTATCGAGCAACTTCAATATTTTATTACCGCTCGTGCTCGCTGCGAGCTCCTTGCTTCTCTCTGCTGATGAACTGTGAGGACGCAGAAATAACTACTCAGGAAAGAAATAGGCACTTCTTTCCTGAGCGTTTGTTTGTGTCTTCACAGTTCCGAGCTTTGCTTTATGTAAGTGTGGTCGACCACTTCATTCACCGCCTAATACATACCCCACAACCACAACAACACCAGGCGTCCATGTGTTTCTTCCTCTTCTTTCTACTTTCAGGGTCACGGGACACTGCTACACCCACATATCCCCCTCCCCTTGCCCAACTCGCGTTGGCTGGTAGAAACTCATGTTGAATGAGTCATTGTCAGTGGCGAGCCAGACTAAATTTGAGTACATTTCCAACCTGTGCAAGGATGTCCAACATGTGTGGTACGTGAAGTCCTTTTGGCCTAGTGCTTCCAGCATGCCTTGGATGTTTATATACGCATCATAAACTCAATCAATGCAACCCTGCTTGGCCCTCAATATTGAGCCACATCCACATCAAACTGCCTGGTGAAAAAAACCCTCTCACTTCAACATCACCACGATGAGCCGGCCAACCGCACGTAAGCTCGTCTTCCGTTAGAGAAGCGAGAAGACTGACAACATCTATCATTGCGAATTCAGTCACTAAACACTCATGATGTAGTACCCGCTCCATGCCCACTGTTTTCCTTGCTTTAGACCCTCCTACCATCGGGTATGGTGGGTATGGTTTTATCAGACGTCGGTCAGGTCGTACAGCGCCATTACAACCATACAAGAACAAATCCAATGGAAATTCTAGTGTCAAGTCATCCCACCAGCGATGAAAGGCTCAAATTACAGCGCCGCGGCTCGCAAAGGTCTGTCTTGTTGGTCGTAATTCCCAGGAAATATATGGGCTGGGATCAGGAAGCAGTCACAGTTACTAATAAAGGCCACCCTGTAGTGGTGTCCACTGCAAGTTTCATTTATCACAATTGAATGTCTAGTTCCGTGTGCATTACGACCGTGTCCGAGTCGGAAGTGTAAAACAGGCCCCACGGCAACAAGACAAAAACCGAGATTATTTCGGTTCCTGCTTCTGGCCGTATCCCCTTTCAGCAATTTATAACGGTAGGATCAAATTGTACTTGCATGCTGCAGACTACAACCTCTGCACGTCATTGCTGTCTCGTTCAATTTTTTTTCCTAATGACACAGAAAAGACATAAAGGAAGGCCCCATTCCTCAGGTAACAGGTTGCCGCGTTCGATGACCATTGAATTAATTTCACGTGTGTCCTATGTTTGACCTTCAAGGTGGGGTCCTTTAGTTCAGGTTCACCAGGCGACGATTACTTTGCAATCGTTGGTAACTATTTACTCTCGCACTACGGCTTCATGTTTCGTAAAGATTTTAGCCGTACAAGTTCAGATGGCTCCACGATATAGGTGCTATACAAAGGATTGTTCAAATAAGCAGTAGAGCTGCGTTTTTGAGGGTGCATGACGACCCTTGCACTGAACGTTGACAACGTTGAATGGCAAGGCATGGTCTTGGACCCTAGTTCGGAAGAAACCACGATGCTACCCTACCAAGACACCTGACAACGCTAGGGCTGAGCGTCGAGTGTTTGGCTGGAAAACAAGGTGCGCTCCATCAACCACCGTCCAACGTGGTGTCCCACGCATCATCCCTGGTGAGATCTATGGGATGGAAGGGTGTGTCAGCCGAAGCCCGAGTGCTACAAAATACTATTGTCGTACACGCAAGATGGCAGAAATTTGAGTAAGACAGAGGACAGGTAATTTAAACAACAGTCATTAATGATAGCGCACAACTTGCTCGGATACCGCAGTCAAGAAGCTATTATCGGAGCTTGACGCTTCACGGCGTCTTCAGTCTATGAGTACCTACGCGCAGCCGATCAACCACCTGCTTTCCCAAGGAGCGCGTAACCACTTCCTTGTGGCCCGTGCAGCTGTAATTAATAGTATGGTGGCTCAGAACCACGTACCCGTAGAAACGTTCTCGGGCCAACAACATACCTTGCTGTAGCAGCGCCCGCACAGCGGCTCGCCATCTTTCTCATTCAAGCGCTTGGAATCCAACAGGGTATTGCAAGATGAGCACCTCAGACACCCCTTATGCCAAGTTTTCCCAATCGCCTTCATCTGATGCCAGGATTCAGCCAAGTCTCAGAGCGAGGATTCACAGGAAGTTGGCCAACCTGTTCGGCAAAATACACATTCTTCCCACACCGAGGGCATACAGGGGTTGCACCCCCTGGTCCCCACGACTTCACGGGACTAGTACCAATGCCTCCGAGTGCCATTCCATATCGAGTTCCCGTAGATGTTTGCTTCAAAGGAGTAATGTTGACCGGACTGATGAACCCCGTTGAACTTGGTTTGAGTGACGATGCCGGTCGTTCTATAGATGCATCATAGAGCCCATCAGGGGGCTCAGAAGAGCCCGGGGAAGATTTGGACGGACTGAGCAGGTTGGAAGGCAACGTTTTGAGATACGCTGTACGTCGGATCCCAGGGGTGCTTCCTTCATTCGTAGCGTTGGTGTCTCGCATCTCATCTGTCTCTGTTGCCTCTGCATCCATCTCTTCACCTGCCTCTTCACCTGTAAGTTCGAGGGGTGGACTAGATGGCGATGCACGATTAAAGCGTGTGGGAAGAGCGGAATTGGCACGCAATAGTGGCGTTGCACCGCTCGTACCAGTGAAGTGAGCCCGAATAGGTGAACGAGACCCACTGGTTAAGGTTGCGGACAGATCGGCAGATCCATGTGCCCTGCTATGTGTCAAGGGCGTAGGGAATGTACTCCTCACGGGAGAGGCTGAACCAGTCAGCGTATTCACGAGAGGTCCATGAGCTGAGCGGACGGAAGATGAGGCAAAGGACAAAGAAGAGAGGTCATCTTTGTCCGGGAGGTTTGCTTGTCGCAGGTCGCGTATCCCAAACGATCGGACGTGGCAAGTTTTGCTTACAAGGGAATGTCAACTCAATACGACTAGCCTAGCAGAAAGAAGAAAGCTCACCAGTATGGCTACACATCACGCAGAAATGAGTGAGAAGGGTTGGATTCGAGAAAGTCACACACCATTTGATCATGTTCCAGTAACGTCAGTGAATCTAAACGTTTATTGCAAGAGGTACACGCCAGACATGGCTACGTACAGCAAAGTTTTAAATGAAATGTCATGGCCAAGTGGAACGATGGATCCTTGCCTTGTGATACAACTGATCAGAACAAGGTCGGCCAGCCGCAAATGAGTATGAAATAGTTGGTCGTTGGCTGGGCTTCTTACCTTGCGACCAGGGCCCATTATCTGAATGGAGGAAATCAATGATTGCAATGAGTGTAACATGAAGCGGAGAACCCATACGACCCCATACCTGCTCGGCAGCGTAGACGGCCTTATCGCATCGGGGACAAATTGGTGTTCCTCCGAAGGGGTGCATCTCAGACGTAATGATGTCGCGTAACCTGTGGGTTATGTATGCAACAGTCAGCCCCGGTGACAACTACTTACTGAAAAGTTGGAGGTACAAAGTACTGAAAAGCGACGAGCAGCCGGAACTGATTCTCGAATACTACGATGAGTGGACAGCCCCGTGAGCGTAGTGTTGCTAAGATATCCACTTGCAGAGCTTTTGTTCGGTGATTTCCGACCGCGAATTACCGCGTCCCTTGGGCTGCAGTACTTGGCTGACAGCTGCGCGCCGCAAACTTCAAGTTTGGCTTTGCACTGCGGCGAGAGCCATTGGCCAAGTGCACTAGTGATTTTTGGAAATGGATGATCCATGATTGGATGGTCTGCCGGCGTATTAGTGCTGCATTGTCCAGCAAGCCTAAGGCTTCCCCTGAGGAGTCTCCACGGAGCACTAATCTCGAACCAGACGTTATGGGACGATTCTACTGTGCAGCTGGCCAACGGCATTTTGCTGTCCCTAACTTCTAAGGACGGGTTGTCTCGCTGCTGTGCCTATTACTGATAGCATCGACGTCTGTGGATCTATGAAATAACTCAAGTCACCACCCCGAAGTTAAAGAGGTCTCCTAGATTCGAGGAAGAATTCTCTGACGACACGAAGCCTATAAATCCCTTGTGAATTGCGTAGCATCGAATTGGATAGCTCCGCAAGTCGGAGCGGAGCTTGAAATGACAATCGCGATGAGATTTTTTTCGTAGATGGTGTGTTGTGTGATCAAACAAATCGCTCCCGTCAAACGCCCTTCTCTTTCTATTTTCCATCTTCTTTCGTCTCCTCTATTTTCCTACCCGTGTAGACCAACTTAGACTACCCACCCTATCTGTCTCTGCCCTTGACGATGTCTGACGATGAGCAGCACAACCAGACTTTTGAGGCGGTCAGATACACTAGCTATTCATTGCGATCACCATCTGATCACTATCTCGATGCCATTCCGTAGGCAAGCGCTGGCGCCTCGGCCACTTACCCCATGCAATGCTCCGCGCTGCGTAAAAACGGCCACGTCGTCATAAAGGGTGCGCTTTTCACTTATCAGGCCAGACTTGGTCGAAACACTTTTCTCATGAGCGTGAATTAGGCCGCCCGTGCAAAATCGTCGAGATGTCCACCTCCAAGACAGGAAAACACGGACACGCCAAGGTTCACCTTGTCGGCATCGATGTATGTGTATTTTTGTCGATGCATGGCCACTATCTTGATGTACTTGCACTTTGTTCTCTAACGCATCTTGTCAGATCTTCACTGGCAAAAAATTGGCACGTGGCCTCTTTGGTGACCAATGCTAGTGAAACTAATTTCTACGCCAAATAGGAAGATATCTGTCCCTCCACCCATAATATGGACGTCCCTAACGTAGTGCGCAAGGAGTACCAAGTTGTAAGGATAATTTCGTCCCACGTCTGCCGTCCTTGTTAAGTTCTTGCAGATGAACATTGATGGTTCATTTTTGAGCCTTATGGACCAAGACAACAATTCCAAGGACGACGTCAATGTCCCCGATAGTAATATGGGAAAGGACATCCAAGCTGCTTTCGAAGAGGGCAAAGAGTTGCTTGTTACGGTCGTTTCTGCTATGGGTGAGGAACAGGTGATCTCCTACAAGGAAGCACCTAAAGGGTCTTCTTGAAGGTACGTATGTCGGTAATCACTTAAGATCGTTTTGCCTGGCTTATCGCTGACGCACACTAGAAGCGTCCGTCATGTTGTCACATTACATTCGAGTCATTTATTTGAGTCGTGCATGTCCCATCATCAACCTTGTTATTTGAATTGTTGTGTGTTGTTGTATAGGACATGAAGTGGGGTAGCAGGGCTTTGAATGTGTATGCGTACATGATAATGACAGCGGAAAAAGGTTACTGGTCTGGAAAATACGTCGATTAACGTCGAACCGAATAACCGGCAAGATGCCATACCACGGACCGTGGTTGGGAAATTTTAGTAATGCCTCAAACTCAGCGGGCCATTTCGTTGGCCAACTGCGGTGCTACTCAGCCAACTCAGGGGTTCCACGTTCTGAAATGTCGACGAAATGCGGTCTTCGATGTAAACACTGGACCCGTGCAGACGCTCAGTGTACAAGAGATCGTCCGCATGAGGGGATATTGATATTACGCCGCAATGTTATACACGGACCACCATCCTGATGTCTGGCCAACGGCCTCGCTGTTTTGGCTGGCCATCCTGTGCACAGGTCACAAAACAAGGATACCACGCGCTACTAGGGAAGTCTGTCTCGCTAGGAGGTCATGGAGACTCGTATAAAGAGGGAGGGGAGGGTAGGAGTCCTCCATTGAGCTACTCACCCCTTTCTACGCAACCACCATGTCTAACAATGCTGCATACTCCAATAGCGACAAATTCAACCAGGACTTCACGGACGAAGCAAGTGTCACGAACTCACGATGCGCCAGTTGATCTGACTGCACACCTCACCATTTCTAGGACGCTTTTATGCTCATCAGGATTGCCAGTTCCCCAGAGCACCGGCTCCACACATGTCAATGGGTGGATAATACCACGAGCTGCAGAACTGATATCCCAGGACAACAGTTTCCTAACCATTTGCGCGAGCGTCACGGCATCACGACTGGGGATAGCCGAGTAATGAAGTGTCGCTGGGATGGCTGCAGGGAGTTTGTCCAAGTCACAAATGTGTTTGTGCACATCCAGCAGAAGCACATTGCGTGGAAGTACGCGTGCTACAACTGTGGGATGGAATTCGCCCGCGCTAATTTGCGCAACACCCACTTTAATCAGTGCAGGAACACTGGGAACTGATATTTGGGCGCGGATGCCTTTCGTTTTTCTCTTCCGCTTTCATAAATATTCTCGGTGATTTGGAGGGTGGAGGCACTTATCGTGGAGAGTAGAAAATGTTCTTCTTGGCTTCTTGGATCTGTGCTATACTGTTCTCGCTGTTCACGTGTTTTAGTTCGTTGTGTTGACTGCATGCTGTTTCACGGACACACATTACCTGTTGCGACAATCGGAGCCCGTTTGCCTTTTCTTCCCACTGCACTGGAAGGGACGATTGAATTCGAAACGCAACAACGCATGCAGAGTGAGTGAGGGGATCGCCACCGCGTTTTAGGTTCCCACATAGAAGGTCTCAGTGTGAACAGTGATGGCAGGTGTAGAATTTCTGTGGCTGCCACTAACGGAGGCCAAGCTGAATTCTGGCTTTAAAGTCCCCTGGCCATGCTGTATACAAAAGGCAGGTGCTGAGCTTGGTCAAACACGTGGCGACCGCCCTGCCAGCCAAGCTGTACAGCCGCTTGTGGGCGGAACATTGGAATGCGAAACGAGCGATTAACCTGAAAAGGGACACGGTTACCACTTGGTTGGGGCGGTGGAACGGTTAGCCTGTGACAGTTCCAGTACGGCTTATGGGGCTCATAAATAATTACCGACGCCGCTCACCTTGAAATTCACGGTTGGATGGACTCAACCAACATGAACGCCGTCAATGATAAATTTCTCTGATGGCAACCATATAGAATGGATACCGCCAGAATGCCGATGGCGGGGCTGGAACTTGGTGCTGTGGCGATGATTGCCTTCCAAGCCTCGTGCAACTTTCTGTAGAGAAAATAAGTTACAGTAGTGCACCCAGTGATGACCGCAGCCCTAAGGCGTGGGGTGGACAAACTGTGTAGGTGGTGATGGTAAGTTTGCAACGGTGAACACGTTGACTGCCCACATGTTCAAGTAAAAAAAAAAGATTACTCGGATACGGGGAATCGAACCCCGAGCTGCCGCGTTGAACATGAGAGGCGGCAATGTTAGCCGTTACACCATATCCGAACTGATGTGGTAGTCCGAGTAGCGCATGACGGAGGACATGTCAGGCAACCCCAAGTGTGCCCTCGATGGCTTGCAGTGGTCATAGTATGGAGTCTTCGACGGGGATTTCACCAGCGTCGGTCATCGAACAGCTTGACAGCTCACCGGACGTCTTGACATGGCTGAACACCGTCTTAGATTCCTCTGGACAGGAAGCAGCTACCAATGGACCCTCCCTCGATGAGCTCTTGACTGCAACATCTATCGCAGCTCAGTCCACATCCTCTGCTCTCGAGAACACCATAGACGAGATTTCTCGCGCAACCCCCCGCCTAGTATATGACCTTCATTTCACCCGTGATGGTGCACTCGCACTCAAGAGCGTCCTGGCGCAATCGATTCCATCATCCAACGCCTCTGCAACTACTCAGGGTCACTTTGACGCGACGTCCCAGGTCCTAGAGAGATTACAGTATCTAGATACAATAAGAACCCGCATGGAAGCCGCCCGAGATGTCCTTCGCGAAGCTGAGTCGTGGGGCGCACTCGAAGCAGAGGTTACGACTCTCCTGGCAGAAAAATCATATGCTCGCGCCGCATCCAGGCTATCGGCATCAGCCAAATTAATGTCAGTGTCTCGCCCAGCCGCAGGTACCCCAGGAACGACGCAGGAACCTCGCCGCGCTCTACTGACGTCTCTTGCCAACCAGCTCGAGGCTGCCATTTCACCTGATCTAGTGCGAGCCATCACAACCAACGATGTGGAGTTGTGCAAATCTCTTTACGCCATATTCGTTGACATTGAGCGCGAAAGTGAGTTCCGGAACTACTACTACGGAACACGACGCACCCCTATAATGGAAGCGTGGAACCAGATAATCTTGGACGGTGAATCTGCGCCCACCGGAACTCCACAGCAGCAGCAAATCCCAGAAAAGCTATCTTCGTTCTATCCAACGTTCCTTTCTTTGTTCTTCTCCATGCTTAATGGAGAACGCCACACTATTCCAGCCATCTTTCCTGATCCAGAGTCTACTCTAGCGTTCCTTATCCACAACACGCTCACGGCTCTCACACCTTCACCAGGTCAACGTTTCGCTGCGCTTTTCCACGGTAATGGTAGCGCCTCTGCCTTGAAGGACATGGTGAAACTGTTTCAGGTTACGGAGGAATTCGCCAAGGGGACGGAAAGGATCTTGGAGAAACTACGCGTGTCCTCTCCGTCTGTGATGTCCGTCACATCCCCATCATCTTCAGGTGAGGGTAAACTCTCCCGGCGGCGCTCCATGCGCATGTCCATGTCGTGGCGGTCAACAAGTAGTGTCTCTGGCTCAGCGAAACAACAAAGTGGTTCCAGTGGAATCAGTGTAGTCGACGCCATGGAGTGGGACCAATGCCTCTTCCAGCCTTTCCTTGATTTTCAGGTTGACTTCGGTACCCTTGAGAGACGACTTCTCGACGAAGCACTCGGCCCACCCGTAGTCAAGTTACAGGGCGCAGTGGACGGTGATCGCGCTGCTCGAGCGATGCGTGAACGCGCTGTGGACGTGTTCAGCGCTGCGGAAGAGAGTATCGACAGATGCATGACCTTCACCCACGGGTACGCGTCTGTCGGGCTCGTACGCGCACTTGATGGCTATGTATGCGCGTTTGTGGACGCGTGGACAAATTGTGTCATCGACTGGGGGAACGCGAGCTCTGAAACAAACACCAGCGCTCTCTCGTATAACGGGGCTGAGGACGAAGAGTTTGCCGATTTGGATTATACGTCTCAAGACTGGGCGCATATCCAGCGTGCATTACATCTTCTTGCTACAGCACGGGCCGTCAAAGAACGTCTTGGAGTATTCGAGACACGCCTCCGAGGGGCCCTGAATCAAGTGGCTGTGGCGTTCCATACTGTAGTGAACGGGCTGTACACTCCGGGGGTGACGAAAGGAGAAGGCATATTACTCGCCCAGTCTACCTTAAACTCCGTGGAATTGAGGGACCTCTTCTCTCGGGTCCTGCAACCGCAGTCCTCAGGGACCTCAGCTGCGGCTTCTATTTTGCTACCTTCAAGTCATTCCGCTCTCACATCCTTTGCTCGTGCAAACCAGCGTACCTTACAGCGTGTTCTCCTCTCCCCCCTTTTCGTACATCTCAATGCCTACTCTTCACTATCACTCTGGTCTGCCTCGCGCCAAGAACCTGTGCCAGGATTCGCAGGTGTTAATGTTCCGGCATTCTCTTTGAGCCCTAGCGAAACTATCCAACGTGTTGGTGACGGGTTACTCAACCTTCCGAGATTATTTGAGGTCTACGCAGAGGACGATGCGCTCGGATTTGAGATAGGAGCCTTGGCTATGGGGGACGGCCTCAGCCCCGGTCCTGAGGGGGGCGACTCGAGCGCACTTCAAGCGGAGCAGCTCCACTCCCCGGAGGCTGTCACATCTGCATGGCTCTCGTCTCTTGGAAGGACCATGCTGGCACACTTGACGCGGAATATCCTGCCACAAATCAGGGTTTTGACTTCCGCTGGCTCTGCCCAACTCGCGGCGGACTTAGGCTACCTGTCTACTATCATTCGTGCCCTCGGTGTGGAAGAGGGAGATTTAGAACGTTGGAGAACGTATGCTTCGATGGGAGACGAGGAGGGGCGAGCAGACTACTTAGCTGCTGAGAATCCAGACGACATTTTGAGATCAATTGCAAAAATGCGAAGATGGCTGTCTTGAAGCTCACTACGTATTAGTAGACTCACCTTCCTAGTACATTCTCAATCCATTAATTCATTACCGATATCTTGTAACCACAAGCGGCGTAAATATGCCTCGACTGTAGATAACGAAAATAGAGGGCTGAGGTGACTTTTCTCAGTTTCGGGGGCACGAAGCACACGGAGAATCCAGTCTCCTCAGCCATACAAGTACGAGCCCCAAGTCGAACACATTCCATCGCATTCTTTTCATACAGCTAACGATTGGAACACGTAGAACTGGAACTCACCACATACTGGGGTGAGAACACTTAAGAATGAACTGAGACAGAACATAGATAGACACATGGGCATGGATTAAGCGTAAACACAAAATGTAGGACAAGTAAGAAGGGAAAGAAAGATGAGGCACGAATACGGGATGTGTCAACATGTTAAGTATATAAATGATTGCACATCCGGCACAGAGACAGGACAAGAGCAATCAACCAGAACTAGATATCTGTATGTCAGAGCAGGAAGTAGTAAGCATATGCTTACAAGGACCCTTAACGAAACCCAGGTCATCAAGCACTGTCCGCGGGGACCTCAGTTATAGAGGCATTTGTGTTGTCCGACTGCTGGTCATGTTCTCCTGCTGTATTTGCAGCCTTGACTTCTTGGGGAAGCAGTACATCGCTTCGCCTCCCCGAGGGCAGTGCAACGCACGCGGAACGGAGTAATTCGTATTTCAACACACCCGCTTCGGCATCGGCCATGATCCTGATCCAGCGGCAGAGGTACAGTCAGCGTTGAAACTGATACCATACGATAAGTCGTAGCACCCACCGTCGCAAGTGAGCTTGATCATCGTTGACAGGTTTGGAGAGTGCTTTTCGGAATATCTCTGCAATATCGCACAGACTCTAGTGATAGTGCGCAAGTTTAGTTGGTCCTCATTTGTGGTACGTGTAGGGCCGCGTACCCCGTGTTGCCTGCCTGCTTCACCATCGGTCACACCGTCGTTTTCTACAACATGGTAGACGATCTGATTGTTGTCAAGTAATGTTCGTGAGGTCAGCCGTAGGGGGCGTACCTTTTCTGGTACGTATTTCACTTCCCGATGAATTCCCGCCCAAAACACCCATAGCATCTAAAACATTCGCTCTATCTGCTCAGAAGAAGTGATATTGGCCTCACCACTCCTGTTGTATCTTCTTCCAGCGCCCGTTGTTCATCCTCATCGCCTGCCGCATCAAGCGTTTCTTGCAGGGTCATAATTTGTTTTAACTTTGAATGAACACTTGTGTGGCTCGAAATAGAACGGGAGACTGTCGGGTTTAACATGTGGTGCTTACCTGTCACAATCAACTTCGCGTCTTGTCTTGTTTTCTCTGTCATCTTGCCTTGTTTTCCCTCTAAAAAATGATGCCACAAAGTCTAAAGTGATTAAGGGACTGGAACGAAAGCGCACACAACAAAATACGGCGGTTTAATGCATCGATGTAGAAAGCCCGTAAGATCTCGAGCACCTGTTTGCCGCGAGCGTTAGCACTGACACAAACGGCTTGACACTACAGGCCCCTGACCTCCAAGCCGAAGGTCTCTGAAATCGATTTCACCTCCGACTCTATTTCTCGCGCATCGGATGATTTGAGCTCCCACCTGCCGCACTTTTGGATAATCTTCAGCAGATTCTCCACCACAGCCAAGAAAATGCGCGGATCCTGTGCTGTCCTGCGTTCTTTCCAGGCATCTGGTAGGCAGTTGGGTTCCGTGAAAGGCTGGTCCGGAAACAAGTCTTGGCATCCTCGTGAGTTGTCGGAACCTGGCGAAGTAGTATGAACTACCTGCGGACACCAGTAGCGTTTAGCACGTAGATCTCACCACTCGCTGCTGCTGAAGGGGGCCCAACCCCTCGCTTAGATTTGGGGAACGACGCAAGCCTTTTGAAGAAGGTGATATCACCAATCTAGCGTTCAATGCTAGTAAGCAGTGGAGCATCTGAGAAGAGGTAAAGACGCACATATCTTTCCAGGTACTCAACACCGAACAAATTCGAAAAGAACCTTGCTGCATCTTTCGTAGCATTGCTATCCTGCTCCCTAGCCTACCCAACATGCGTTTATGAGAAGCCCGCAAGAGATCTTTACTTACTGCTAGGCGGCCTCCGTTGATGATCATGATAGGTGAGCGCTGCAGATAGCGCAATCAACGAAGGTCACCAAGAGCTAAAGGCGGGGCGCACCAACTTCACTAGGACGTAGAATTGTTCTCTAAATCATGGAGAAATCATGAACCGCTCCATAGTGCCGTGGCTATCGCATGCTACTTTACCGAATTTCTTTCAACTGCTTCCTTTTCTGTTTATCCAGGCTGTCTCGACGCCATACCTGAGGCTGGGCAATACTATACAAAAGGCCTGAAACGAAGGTCGAATAATGGGCAGCCATAGGGCACAGAATACTCACCACTCTTAAAGCTTTGCTGGTCATGTGACTGACACATCTCCGCCCGTCCGTTCTCTCTCGTCCTCACCTCCATCTCAAACTCTTTTATCTGCCCCAATGCGCTCCGGTGAGAGAGCTTGCGGTGAGCTGAGCATGATACAACAGCTGTTACTAGGTACTTCTCTGTGAGGGACATCGATAAACGTTTCAGCAGCGAAACAAATTCTCGACTGCCTGGAATGGAGAGGCTGGTCGGTTTGAACAAAAGTAGGGGGCAGCCCTCGACAACGGAAGTTATCACGGTGTCAAGATGGTCATCATCCTTATTCGTAGCCGAGACCATCTGGGAATTGGCGGAATCCATTGAATAGGCGCCGAGGTTGTCAGAGATGTTACCGCAAGGCTCAAAACTTTTGCTCGGGTGATTCCAGTCACCATAGTCACCGAGCTGTTTCCATCATATAAAAGAGAACTGCAGCAGACATATTGATGCTCACTTTGATCTGCTTCGTACCACATTCCAGAAATCCTACATTAACTCCACCAAGGGATAGCCGGTGCTCATAATCACAAGTATATACTTTCATGAGTCCAGGCATGGGCAGGTAGTGTCTATCGTTCTGTGGAGACAAAACTAGTCAGTCCCCGAAACTACATAATGAGAAAGAAGCATTAAACAACAGAAGAACTGACTGCAGTATTCTTCCATTCGAGGGGCCCATAACAGCAACCAGTGCATTGGTCGACGTCAACGGTGAGCGTGGTATTGCCTACTGTGCATCCGTCCCAAACAACCTTTGCAGCCCAGATAGACCGTGGTAAGTGTGCATGCTTGATGTAATACTTGGGTTCACGTTTAGGGGTGGACCAGAATCGTTTGGAGACCTCCGGCATATTACCAGCGTGTTCTTTGCGCGCGCTCCACAACTGTTCGTAGACTTCCTTCGCATAGTCCTCCCAACGTGATTGACAATCGCCTGTATCATCACAAACAACGTGCACCCATTGTTGATCAAAGTAGTACCCAAACCCAACTGCAAATCGAGCTCGCGCATTGTCGTTGGCATAGACAAGGATAACGAGATCATTCGTGTGCGAGAACACGCCAACGGAATTGTTGACGATATTATAGGGAAAAGCACCACAGCGAGCAAAGCCATAGCAAGACATAAACCAATCATCGAGTGTGAGATGGCGATACGTCCGGTTCCAATAATAGGCGAGATGAAGTTGCCTGAATTCTGGAACTGCTTCGAGAACATCTGATGCGCCAAAAGATTTGTAATAATCTGACCCGTAGGATGCCAAATCAATGGTCACCGGACATCCGTTACGCGTGCACGCCAAGGTGGCCCTGTACACAGACGGAGAGTCACGGTAAGGTGTGAGTGGCAGGCATATATCAATGCCCCCGTTGGTAACAGAGAATGTGCGAAGTTGTCGTGCACGAGCATGGTCACGCAACAATAACCGGGAAAGTCTGCCCCATTGCACAGGATTGACCCACTGGATCCCTAGCTTGCTTTGAATATGCCGCTTGAAAAGCTTGATAAACTCCTCCGGTTCCACCACGTCGATGTCATGACAATCCCGAAAGTAGCTTGGATCATCAGCCAAGACGACTCCAGGCCGCCGAATTGTCCCTCTATAATCCCATGCGAAGATACTGTGGTCGTTGGATATCCGGAGGATTTCCAATTGTAGCCGCTGAAAGGCTTTCCTTCCCTCCCCGTACAACATTGGCATGTTCACGCCAAAAAGCCCCAACAAAGAATATGCCCGATCCTCGACTCGGGTCGTCTTCCGATCAGCGGCCCACGACATGAGTTGGGCTACGCAAACCCGACTCGGGGATAGACGGCCCATCAATATATCCTCCGGGACTCGAGTAATGTCGCGCAGAACAGAGACCAAGGTTATTTTGTCGCCCACAAACACCCAATGCTGATTGAAGAACTGAACGTCTTTCGGAGCTATCAGCTCCTGGAGTGTCCAACCGCGTGAGAACCACTCCGGCCAGCCGTTTGAGCTGGGATAGTTGGTATCGTCTGGCATAGTCGGGAAACGTTGGCCATCGACGTCATAGAGGTACACGTAGCACTTCCTCGAGTTTTCGTAACATCGATACATCGAATTGATCGCTTCGGATAATTCTGCACTGCTACCCTTGTCGATACAGCACGTGTCAACCCACAACCATGAATAGCCGTCCTTCAAAGCTTGCTCGCAACTTTCGAGAATCTTCAGGTAGCCTTTACACAACCTGACTTGCTCCTGCTCTTCATTTGCCATGGTAGGCAGTCCGACGAGTTCCTTGTAGTTGACTTCTCTTCCGAGCCAGCGATGGGATAGTATGGCATAATCTGTGCACGTATCGTCAAGGTCTTCCAGGACGTTGGTTTGGAGGTTGACTTTTCTCCCAGTCCGAATGTCGCGGTCCCTGTCAACGACAGCTTGCACGTTAAGTAATCGCATACCTGTGGCATTAATTTCAGTACTGGTCCGAGGATCGACCACTACAAGACGCTGTATTGCTCACAGGAATAACTGCGCAATCAGTTCACTGACCAGAGCTGTCGGTACGTTGTGAAAGAGCTTCAAGGTTACTAAGAGGATCAGGTGGGGGGCCGCACTTGCTTGTCGAGTCGGACATATATTTTGTATTTAGGCATGTGTATCACGTTTACGTGAATCCCAACAGTCTATTCCCAAGTAATTTCTCCAGTGGAACAAATAATTAGCCATGATATACAGCAGCCAGATATCACAGAACTAAGCCAGGATATAGTACAGAATAACGAAGCGAGCAGCCCATAAAAGGCGCTTCATTTCGCCGCCCTACCGAGCATATGGGTGAAAAGTGTGCCGCACGCGATTCGGCATTCTGGAGGGACCTGGCCCAGAACTCATCGACATCGCTCCTGCACTTCCGTTCATACCCATCATGTCCCCCATACCCATACTCATGCCCTGCCTCATTCTCATACCGACATTGCCCATGCCCATTCCCCCAGCTGCACCAGGCTGCATCATACCCATAGCCATCGGCGCGCTCATTCCCATACGCATGCCCATGGGATTCATCGCCATCATCGGGTTCACCCCACCTCCCATCATCCCCAATCCGCCCAAACCCATGGCACCAAAGCTGTTCATCCCCATCCCCATACCCGTTGCACCCATGTTCATGCCTCCCATACCCATACCCATCATCATCGGGTTCATCATCCCCACGGATCCAGCCCCGCCATTGGCCATGGGTATCTGGCTCATCATGCGTTGATACATCATCGACGCCGCTGGGTTCGCAGCCTGCTGCGGGTTGAACGTCATGGGTGTCACAGCTGAATTACGCGCTTCTTGGTCACCGTAACCATCGCGGCTTGTCGCGTTTCGCGCTTGATCGCGCTGGCTCCGGGGTTGAGCCATCTTCACTTCAATCTAGCAGAAACAGTCCAGACGGTCAGGTTCCCGCATACACCACGGAAAATATAGGATATTTCCAACCTCTTTATCATCCAGGACAAGTCCTAGTTTACCAACAAATCGCTCTTGATTACTCGAATCTTCAAACGTCACGAATCCAAAGCCTTTGGATCGACCGGTCTCGCGGTCGACCATAACAGTGGCATCGACGACTTTTCCGTAAGCAGAGAAAAAGTCACGCATAGAATCTGCGGTCGTAGCGTGCGAGAGACCGCCCACAAAATACCGCGTATTTCTCAAATGCTCTTCCCGTGGTATCGCCCGCTTAGGGTCGATCTGCAAAAAGATGACTGTCAACCGTTGATACAGACATGGAACACGATTCAACTGACTGTCTTTCCGTCCAATGTGTGCTCCCGCGCAAGGACGGCATTTACAGATTCAGGCTCCTCAAACGTTAGGAATGCAAATCCCCGTGACCTTCCATCAGGGTCACGCATAATTGTGCAAGCATCCACCTCAGCAAGGAACAAGTGTTAGTCTTTCGCTCTTCATACGGAGAAACAAGCGCTTGACAAAAAACGCATCGTATAATCACCTTGCCAAACTGTGAAAAATACTTTTTCAGACCTTCTACTCGGACAGGGGATGTCATCAGAGGCAAAAAGGTTGTTAGTCCAGTGGGAAAAAAAATCTATACGGGTAAAACGTATACCATCTGTAGTGTCCCAGCTAAGTCCTCCGATGAACATTTTGCTAACCGAGGGGAAATTGCGTAGGCAAGAACGACGTAGTAAGAGTAGGAGTGCAGTGAGGTGAAGTAGGTTGTGTCGGTGTGGTGTCCAGAGTGATATCGTCAAAGCGACACATAAGTGATTAGCGACCAGAGAGTAGCCAATTAAGGAGCAGGAGAGGGTTCCAGTAAGAGTGTGTATAAAGAGTCATAGCAGGAGAAAAAAAGCGGTGGATCAGTTCGACAGGTATAACAAGTCAGTAGAACCGCAATTGAAAGGGGGAGCATGTGTACGGTATAGTGTCATACGTTCACCAAGGTCGAGATACTAGCATGGGCAAAATACAACAGGTATTCTTCCGGACAAATCCACCGGACGTGTGTAGTTGGTTTGCCCAACAATACCAATACGAGCCAATGCTCCGTACTAGCCGTTATCATATAAAAAGAAGCGAGGTAAACTTGCTCACCCTTCGTCCTTCATCTCCGACGGCCGTATTGGCCGGTCAGTTCGAGAACGGTCAGTTTCATGCGTAGCAATAGCAGATGGTCCGGGTGCAGATACAGGCACAGGCACAGGAAGAGCAGGTCGTTGTTGTCGCTCCTGACTCGGCGTCTGGTGGTACGCGGAGAATTGCTTCGCGACCTGCGCTGAGTACGACAGACTGGCTGAATCTGACGTGGATGAAGGCTTCGCGGGAAGGGATGTGCTGTCTGTTGACTGTGGCTTTGTCGAAGACTCGGAAAGCGTCTGGTCATCTTCCGGTAGCATGAGTTCGAAAGGTTCATTCGATGCTTCGTCGTCGTCGTCCAACGGGATGGTGAACCCGTCATCATATAGGTCTACGGAAAAGGTTCCGGAGAGTGTTCAAGCAAACCAGAGGCATCCTCACCTCCATACAAATCCGAATCAGCGTTGTCTTTCTTCTCTGTCGCCATCTTAGCAGTATGCGGAGTGGTAGTGTGTGCACAGGTGTACACCCAGAGTGAGCAGGCAGGCCGTTAATGTGTGGTACAGCACCGACACACACATGTCCAAACAAACGTGCCTGCTTCAAACACCAAAAAAAGAAAGAAAAGAACACCAAGTGACAAGCTATGCAAAGTTACATACTACTGTACAGCAAATTACAAGACGTCCGACACCTGAACATGAACTTCTACGATCGAAGGAGTTTGCATCAAGAGCCAGCTAATGAACTCCATTGACAAGGACGCGACCTTCTTTGAGTTGCTGTGCCGTACGCTCCGCTGCCGCATCATAAACATACCGTACCGGAGGACGCCGTGGCATATATGCCACCTCATCCGAGTCAGAATCCAATACCGAATCTCGAAAGGACGATGTAGGGTTCTTGTCACTGTATTGGTCGCACGTATCGTACGCTTGTGGCGCATGTTACCAGCACGTAAAAAAAAGGTTTGAATTGAGCTTACCATCGGACTCATAAATAACCCGCCGTTTTCCGAGTGCCTTCTCGCTGGGACGTATGGGAGTATGAACTTCTTCACTAGCAGATTCGTCGTCCTCGATATGCATCCGTTCCACTCCTTCAGGTAATGAATCTTTCCTACTCTCGGGGGAATTATTCCTCGAGAATCGTTGCATCCGATCCGGAGAAGGCGTGCGAGAGTGAGTTTGAGGTTGCGAGGGCGAACGGGGTCCAAGGGGGTGAGGCGGCGCTAGTAGCGTTGGTGTCGTGGACTGCGAATGGTAATGCTGTGAAGTAATCTGAGCTAGTGAAGGGGTGTTGGGCATTAAGTTCATCAAACTCGGTGGTATCCGTGGTAATGGGTGATTGGGGGAGGGTACGACTATGGGCACTTCAAATTGCTGACGTGGTGACGTTGGAGGGGAAGGAAGCGGCGGCGATGCAGTTCTTGGCGGCCCGCTGTGCCCTCCGGGAGGTTCACCGAGCTGCTCGTCAAATTGCTTCGCAGCCGTTAGCCAATCCTGAATTAGTACAAAAGAAAACAAGTCGACTAACCCTTCTGCTCATCCTTACTTCCCGCTTGCTCCTCTCCTCCATTGCCCTTTCGACAGCAACCCTTGAGAGGTCGTCATACATACGCAACGCCCCGAGAAGTGCCTCGTTAGCATCGAGAAGGGCTGCAAGCAACTCTTCTTCTATGGTAAGTTCATTTGGGGGCTCGTCTAGACCCGCATGAAGATCTTGATGGGAACCATGTGTTGATCGACCATGCTCAGATTGTAGGGCTCTTTCCGCTCGAGACCTTTCTGCACCCGAACTTGCCCATGGTATCTGCGTATGGATCAACTCTTGCGACGAATGGCATTTCGCCATGAATTCCTGGAAGGGATTCTTCAGAAGTACGCTGGCCGGAGGAACGAACATACTCACACGGACGAGCTCTCCTTCAAGATCTTCCGGTTTCGCAAATGCCAAGGCATCGGACAACACGTTGGCGTTGCCGCGGGCTATTTTACATTCCTGGAATAGTCGTTGCATATCCTCCTCCAGAGGAATTATGCCGCGATGACGCCGGCGACCCTGCGGCTGCTGGTACATTTACGATTAGCTATATATTGAGAGAAGTAGAGTGACATACGGGAGTTCGGTCCACTGGCGGAGGGGTGGGTGATACTCCTCTGGCGAATGTTTGCTGTGCAAAAGTAGGCGTCTCGAGGGAGTACTGCGAACTAGGCCTCCGCAGAGAGGTGACGGGAGGACTGAACATCGCATCATCCGTATCAAATGGCACTCCACACTCCGGTTTATCCGCAGGCTTGAGACGACACCATAAGCCACGAAATCCATCTCTCTCTTTCTCCTTGTCTTTACCTGCCGGCTGAGATCCTAAGAAGACAATGAGTCTCCAACGCCAATAGACACGAGCTCCGACATGTAACGTACGCGATGATATGTAGGCCGCCGCCGCCAATACCTCCATCAATCGTTCCCGAACGACTGGCGAGGTTCGAGAGGACGTTAGGACATCTTCCAAGTTTTCTATGAACTTCCTCTGAGAAATCTGTGCAAGGAAAACATCTGAAGCGTTCCGAAGCATAATTGCCCACAACTATGAGATAAAGCGATATTAAAACTTTTAACGGGTCCGATGGGCCACATGGTACATACTCTTGCTGCAGCCAGCTGTGATTTTGGCTCCGCATACCTAAAGAAGGAAGACACGAAGGTTAATAAAAACGTCGAAAAATACGATCAAGAAATTAACTTGCTTAAACTCCCGTCTCAGAGCCTTTGCGGCCTCTTTGGCATTAGCTTCGCTAGCGGACGCCCTCTCGCAGACGTCGAGCACAATCGACCAATCCTCAGATGCTGTTGCAGTGAGATAGCCTCAATGGTCCAAGTTAATTCCGTTTAGTCGACGCTGGGTTAAACGATAGTGATAGTTACGTACCAATCATTCTTGTCAGCTCAGCACCGCCGACGTCATCGTCCCGCCGATCTCGGTCTCTCGTCCGCTCCCTCTCCCTCTCCCTTTCCCTTTCTCTTTCCTTTGCCTTACTCTCCCGATCCTTCAACATTCCCTCCCAGAAACCTCTCTTCTCCTTCGCACGTACGGGCTCGCTTGGCGGGTGATGATCGTCAGAAGAGTCTTGATGAAAATTGGACTGCGAGTCCAGGTGACTAGGTTCTAACGCCCTGAGGATTCCCAACGCGGCGGGAGCCGGAGATTTCTTGCGTGCGATGTTTTGGTCGTTACGTGAGTTGCGAGTAGGATGTTGGACATTCGGATGTTGAATGGACGTCGTGTGAGACGAGACGCTAAAAGGAGAAGAAGAACGAGGTATTGACGACGCGGCGTTCGGCATGGGAGGCGAAGCGCCGGGAGGCAGCGATCCGAGGGATGACGAACGCGATGGGATAACTGGAGGGGGAAAATGCTGCTGATGTGAACGTATATTCATTCCGTGAGGAGCTTCTTCGCCTGGTGGGACGACTTCCCAGTGATCTTCGCCGGGCGGGTGGGGAACAAGACGTGGATGTTCTCGAGATTGAAACTGGGCTGATGGTGGTACTACTGCGGACTGGAAGCTGCCGTGATGTGCGGCAACAGCATCCTGTTCATCAGATACGGGAGATGACGCGGGCTGTCGTGGTGAACATGTTGTGATATGACTTGCCTCGTCGATGATGGGTTGGGCAGGCGCTTCAAGATCCCGACCGAGCGGGGTGACCTTGGCTGGCTTCAACTTTTCGCGACCAAAGAACTTTTGCAACTTCATTTTGGCGAGGAAGGTCTCGTTTAGAGAGTCAAACGAGACTTTGCTAATGCACCTAGTCAGAACGCCCTGGAGTGAGGCTGCTGATACACTGACACCATAATGGAGAGGCTGTGTCGCGATGCCCACCACAGCTTACGGGCGCACGTGACCATCTCGGCACTCCAGTTGCTTATGTAACGGATGGCAGCGGCAACTGCCGAAGTACTGTACAATATCTCTCAGCCACAGCCCTGCCCCGTTCCACCCTCGGCGCCGTCGCTCACGATCCTCAAGACACAAGGTACGTCCGAGCATGCTTGCAACCACGTCAGATTGGACTGAAATGCACTGTGCAGACACAAAAACTGTAGGTCCCAGCGTTCACGGCCGGAATTTGGACACTAAATTCGATGTTACTCAGATCATCAAATGGCCCAACGTGTGACCCTCCGTAAACGCCAGCCCTACAACACCACCTCCAACCGCCGGCGTGTGGTCAAGACTCCCGGTGGCCGTCTCGTTTACCACCACCTCAAGAAGATCCCCACACAACCCAAATGCGGTGATTGCGGGATCGGTCTCCCAGGTGTATGTCAAAATCACACCTATATGTGCTGAATTGTGAACGATTGGATTTCTTCCGGTACGGATGTAACAGGTACCTGCTCTCCGGCCGCGCCAATACGCTACCGTCTCGAAACGCATAAAGACTGTCCGACGGGCATACGGTGGCTCGCGGTGTGGTGACTGTGTCAAATCTCGGTGAGTAACTTGATCCGCCTGTTCTTCTTTGTGGTCTCAATTCTTCGCCTTCAAGCATTCTGCGGGCATTTTTGGTCGAGGAAGCCAAGATAGTGAAGAAGGTCATCAAGAGCCAACAGCAACAGAAGGTTGCTCAGAAGTAAAAAGACAGACCTACTAGGGATCGCACTATGGCTACCACACCATGTTCTCCTCATTCACTTGTCATCCTTATAGCATCCATGTACAGGCGTCGCGATTATGGTCCAGGGACTTGACATATATGCCACTGATAATGACTCTCGTTGGAGCTCCAAAGTGCACCGTTTCGTTACAAGGTAGGTGCGTTAAAAATTCTGTTCGTTTGTACAGGACGAGTGCATGACGTAGTCGGACATGAATGACCTCAACTTGCATGCCAAACAACTGGTCAGTCACGCTCTGCACTCAGCACATCTTCCAATGCGATGTAATCTGGCATGATGAAGTGTTATGGCGAATTCTGATCGGTAGTTCCTGAGACACTCACCTTTACACGCAGTCTTGACTATGTCTCAACGCTTCTGTCTGGGCTGCTTCAACATCTTGACCGACTTCTATAACCTTCTGGTGTTTCTGGACTGCCAACGACTACGATCGCAAGTGACTGTGAGTCGACATGAAACGCGACTGTAACCGCTCACAAGTAATTTCTGTTGTTTCTCAACGATGGCTACCATCACAGCACGTATCTTGTCTTCCATGACTGTGGTTTGAGCAAGGTAATTTTGATAGGCTTGTTCGCTGACGTGTGGTCCTATCGAGTTAGACTCCCGATGACAATTCATGCGCATATATGCACTTACATCTTAACGGTGACTTCCTCCATCGCAGCGCGTTTGCCACTTAACTGTGCTGGGGTCAGATTGGCGAAATGGAGATTCATTCGTGAGACCACTAACATATCCATTGAGCTCAGTTCGCACAGCTTGCAAAACCTTATTCTCCCTTTCTTGTTTATGTTTCTGCCAGGAGACTACGCAAGCTGAGTTAATAGATCGGACTCTGACGAGAAAAACTTGGCATGCACCTTTGAACTCGGCGGCAGCCTTGGCGTACAACCTGATCTGTCGCAGAACATCTGTCTCGGGTTAATCGTGATACGTACTCTAACTCCTGGTCCTCGGTATCCTGCAATCTGCTTGATTTGAATGATTGAGCGCTGTGATCGTCTCCGTTCTTGGCTGAAGGAATAGCGCGGATGCCCCTGACTGATATTTTGGATGGCATCGTATCGAGTTTGAAACGCGTGTCTGAGTCGCGTTACATGTGGTCACGGGACAAGACTCGTCAGGATGGTAAACCAACACTCGAATCCGGAGTCGTAGGTGGTCCCTTCCTTTCTACTGGCGGGAGCGGCATAACTCCGTCTTAGCAAGTTTGAGTGAGTTAACCGATATCACCAGAATTGCTTCGCAACCCACACCATGATGTTCCCATTACGACGACAGCCATGATGAGGATGACGACGAAACGCGTAATACACCAGTCCTAACCAAGGGTTGAGTACAGGTTACAGATGATAAGGCATTCAGCTAACTCACCTCATTTACCTGTGTCTGTATCGCAAGAGGTCCACCCCAGAAACGGCGACATAGATTGGTAAGGCAGAGTAGAGGTGTCCGAAATCCGAAATCAGCACTTACCTTGTCGGGTTCAGCAACGGTTTCGCGAGAGGTCCTCATCGTCAGCTCACAAGCTGCTTCGAGGCTTGTCCACATTTCTGTTGCCCCTGCGTCGCCACCTCTGGTGTCTCTTACCAGTTATGTGTATCTACCCAACCATGGGGCACCTGTTGCCAGTACTGGGTTGCATCTGTTACCACTGTGCCGCCACCTCGAGTCGGGCATCTCGTAACCTTGCTTCTCTGGCATCCTGGACATCTTTTGCCTCTGCTTATACCGCCGCTGCGACCGTGCCCTTTTAGCTGCAAATGGAAAATAATTCTGGATACTAATGAACGCATTTTTTTTAGCAACTTGCCTGCTCTTTTGGACTTGTTTTTTTAAGTATGTATGTCGGGAACTGTGCACTCTTGACATCATCCTAAGTCTTTATTAACCCCAGGGAAAGGTGTCGTGACTCGTCGCCTTCGAGCAACGTGGTGACGATGCCATTGTCACGCTATGGCATTAGATCTAGATGGGATGGGAACGTTGACGATGAGGGACCGAAACGGAAGTATATAGTACCAGCGACAGCGAGGGGAATGGGGTGTAGTGGCCCTGCCAGACACGATATCATTTCATCAGAGTTGCCAGTCGCCGCTAAAGAGCTCACGTACCATTCAACTCAGTCGAGGCACTACCCCTGGTGCATCGTCGTTGCCATGTTCCCCTCATCATCGACCACCTGGTAAGCCCGTGCCATGGCTGGCTATTTTTTTTTTTTTGCGATGACGATCTCTGTCTCTAACTTTGCCGTAGCCGACTCTATACTCCTATCGTTGTTCAGGCGAGTTATCTACCATGCCCCTCTCGCGGTATCACACGTACGGACCGTGATCGTTGCCCTCTCACAACTTCTCAAACGTACGTAGCCCACCAGTGGGGTCTTCATGACCACTGTTCGTTGTCTGGACGTCGTACCATAACGTTTCAGCAGTGTCTCGCCTTTAGTTCGTACGTCCTGTGCACTACAACTTCTCCACAAGTGCTGACTGTACTTTGCTTAGCATTGCAAGTATGTATGAATCGTTCGATGGGCAGACCAAAGCATTTGATGTGGATGCTAGGTGGATCTGCTGTGTTCACAAATGTCATGACATACCTCCCGACACGCTCATCATTGATACTCCGTAGCTCTTCTTAATACATTCTCGGCGGTATGGACTTCGGTTCGACTAGTGTGTCAGTATGTGTTCAGTGGCCTCGTATTCGAGACTCGCAGGCGTGTCACATTTTATCCTACTCACGTCGCTCCTCTGTTAGGGTGATTGATGAAGTCAACACTAATATCAACCATGCTTATAGTATACTACACATGCCAGGCGATAAATAACAAATCAACAAGAATTGCTCAAAGAGTAAGACTCGAATCTGAAGTTGTAAGTAGTTCCTTCCTTCCGACTGGGAGCGATGGCCGGGAGCGAGGGGAATAATGCCGTCTCAGCTTTGAGTGACTAGATGTAGCCATGACCGGATGATTTGTTGTCGGGAGCGAAGCAGCTTGCATCTCATCTACTTCACAATAACTTTGGTCTTTCTCAATACTTTGAATTGACCCACGTAGCTCTTGGGAAAGATTTCGATACTAGGTGTTTAGCAATGTCAGTTACAAAGTTTGTCGACAACCCTCGAATTGGAACTCACCGCCCCACAATACGACTCTAGAGCGCGGATGACGGATGACAAGTCGCTCCTGACAAAGTCATTGAAGCCATGCCCTGATATCGGCTGACGGGTAACGTCGCCCCACGTTCGGACTCGATCGCTAATGCTCGTCCACCACTCAATTGTACAGTTCATCTCCGCGAGCACCAACTTCATGACTCCGACAATCGCCTGCAGAACACCTGTTTAAATTAGTTAGCTATACGACTCAACCGAACATAGACGTCTTGTACTGAAGTATTTCCTCCCACCAGGCACTAGCATGGTTAGCACAGTTCTTTGCTCTGCGAGTAGAGCGGCCCGGTACTCGCCGCATTTCTTCCAACAAAGTATCAGCATATGGATGCGCAGAACGTTGTAGCAGAGCTTACCTTTGCCATGGTTATGTGTGTGTCTCTCCAACTGCGTTCAGTATCCTTCGTGGTATCTGCAAAGTGGCTCGCGAAGTTCTGCAGATGACGTGGGTTTCGCAACTGCCCCAAGCTATCAATTCCATGCTGTGCGTTATCAACACTGTTCCCTATGATGCTAGCGAAACTCAAAGTCCAAGTGCTTGTGTAATTCACTATATCATCGCGGGTAGGCATCATCTTGCGGATACTCGGGATGCGGTCTGCCAAGTGGAGGAGCTGGGTACAGTTCGTAATATAATCTGCTTGGGAAACAAGAAGAGGGGCTACTGCAGGCGGTAGAGGCCTTCCCCACATTGGATCGTTCCAGTAGCAAGGACAGCCACGAAAATCATGCGGGGCGTAAACTCTGGGACAATTCGGTTATTTCGGTTATAATGTCCTTTGGCAAAAAAAAATGCGTACTCGTTTCCCCTTGGATGGTGGTGACCAAAATTGGCACTTGAGCTCCTGGTCGGCAGAAAACTAAATCACTTTGTCAGCTCTTATCGAGAACGGACAAAACTTGAACTCACTACTGGTCACTAGTGCCAGAGCGACGCTTCAGATCTTCAAGCTGCTGTTTCAATTTGTTCGTTGACAGCTCCAGGTCCCTCTTCTGCAGAGCTATTTCATCTTTAGTCAAGGCAGTTGTCGCTGATTTCAATTCCTCCTCCAAGCCCCTTATTTCTGCAGTGTGCTTCTGCAAGATAGCACGGAGCTCACTCTGGATCTCGGCTCCCGCTGTAGTCTCTTCTAGAGTTCTTTGCTGGTATAAGAGCTCATGAACGATTTGAGTGGTCATACGCTCCTGTGTGCATAGGAGGTGATCGATGATAGCCGATGCAGATGCCGGTGTGCCATCGTGGCGGTACATAGCAGCGCCCTCGTCTAATAAGGGCTTGAATAGGGTCTCACTGGACCGTAACTCTTCCTCGCGGCGCTTCCCATCTTCTGGTGAAACCTTGTCCCACATCGTCGTAACGATGACAACATTCTTCAGAGAATCTTGTCCACAAATCTTGTGAAACATCCTGAGATTCTGTCGCGCAGTACCTCCCATTCTGGTATCGCTTATCCGATGCATGTAGATGAGACCAGCAAGCATGGAACGCTTCTCCTCCTGCCTAATGCAAACGTGTCAGCAGCGAACGCAAAACAAAACTATGTCACACTCTTACACTAGGAATGTTGCGATCATGGATAGGACGTCGATATCGGTAATCCCCTCTCGGGAGTCGTCAAAGCCAGGAGTATCCACGAGTTTAAACCTGATACCATTGCCGTTGTCCAACTCGATTGGCTGAACCCTACTCGTCTCTGACTGTAGGCTATGTCCGATCCGGATGACACTAGACGATCCCGGCGGGACAAAACTGTTAATAAACTGAAAATTTAACAGCGTTTATTGACGAGTATCCTTAGCACCTCAGGCTGGAATGCCTACCGTGGATTTTCCGGATCCAGTGGGACCCATAACTCTGTACCGACTGTTAGCTCGAATGCAATCGAACGCACATTTCAACTTACGCAATTGTTTTAACTGACATGATAAACTGGAGGTCTGAGGGTCGGGGTATAAAGGTCGTCGCCGACGACCATTGGTTATATAGCACGGAAACATATTCGACCGCACACGTTGCCCAAGCAAGGAGAACTTTGCCGCGCTGCACATTGCGTGGAGATTGATCACCCTATACTGGCACATCGTGGCGTGTGCCATGCGTCAACTTCATCTCGGCGATCTCCTGCAATGATCGGAATCTGATCACAAGCAAGGACATCTTCGAAGCACACACAAACCCACAGCATGATGACATCCAAGCTTGAGCGCTTGAACGCTAGTGTCATCCAAGCGCTAATCATTCGAATGAGCGCTGATATCGGAAGTTTTGTCTGTAACCCTATCTTCAACGTTCGCCACGCACAAACCTGCAGGTTGGCAGGTAGCGTCAGGTAGCGTCATTTCCACGATACCAGCGGAGGAAGACACTACCCCTTGATAAGAGATGCAATATATATACAACTGTGCTTTCCGGCCATCAACTCCCAACCCAAGTCACTATATCATCACATTGCTTTACCATGGCTAATGAACGAGTGATCGTGTAAGTGTACCAGCTTCGCATCTTAGGCTTCATCCATGGAGACTGAACTTTGGAACAGCATTATGGGCCCCACAGGAACGGGGAAATCCTCAGTAAGACCTACCACATTCTAATAGCGATGCAGTTGAGGCTGACTGCAATTTTTGGTATTTTTAGTTTGTCCGCAACGCAGTCCCGCCGGCATTGTCCAGTCGTATCCATGTTGGACATAGCCTCGAGTCTGAAACGAGCGAGATTCAACCCATCCAGTGGGTGAACAACGATGGTGTCAAAATCAAGCTGGTGGACACTCCTGGTTTCGACGATTCCCGTGAAGGACTGACTGATACTGATGTCCTCAAAATGATTGCGACTTTCCTGGAGAAAGAGTAAGTTTAATATCTTTCAGAGCCGTCCACTCACGGACACCCTATAATTTTTGTTTTAGGTATCGGGGAACCATGTCAAGAGTTACTGGTCTGATTTATGTGCACCGGATCGTTGACACTCGCATGGGAGGCAAGTCGCAAAATAATCTTAGAATGTTCCACAAACTTTGTGGCGAGGATTCACTGAAGAACGTTTCCATCATCACGACGATGTGGGACAAAGTCACACCGGAAGAGGGACAACAACGCGAACAAGAATTGCGATCGGGGCATAATCTTTTCAAGCCGCTACTGGACAAGGGTGCTGTATTGGAACGTTATGATGGAACACCACAATCTGCATCGAATATTATCGATTACCTTCTACGCAAGGAATCCACAACCGTTCAAATTGTTCGCGAGCTCGTAGAAGAGCAGAAGCCTCTGGAGGAGACCGCAGCGGGTGCTGAGCTTCGCGGCGTTATCAATGCGCTTTTGGAGAAGCACAAAAAGGAAATATGTGAATTGCAAGAAAAGATGATGCGTGAAATGGCGGAGATGAGGAGAGAGATGATGGTGGAGAAGAGTAAAGCGGAGATGGAGGTCGCACGGTTGCGCAAGCAGCTTGACGATCTGAAACGGGGTGTGGTGGAGTAAGTATTCACATGTTTGTATGCTCGTAAGGCTATTAACCTCACTTCGGTGATAGTGCCCCTCCAGAATATGATTCGGTGCAGCCAGAGGATGCTAGGAATGATAGACGTCCTTCGCCGGAACCGGAGAATTGCAACTTTCTTTGCCCACCGCCTCAACGTGGAAGTATCGCTCAGTGTGCCACCCTCCTAAAGCAGGTCAAGTATAAGAAAGCTTCTAATGTTTCAACGTATCTCAACCCTCGGATCCTAACCTTCGCCCACGAATTAGAAAGCAGTGTTAAATTCGTGCAGCAACGGCGGTCTACATTGCAATTAACTTTGGACTCCGGCAGCATCCAGCACCTGCAACGAAGTATGAAAGATTTTCCTGATCTTCCCGTGCAGGCCCAAAATGTCTGGGCAGAGGCACGGGAAAGCATGGATTTTGTAAGCCACTTACAATTTACGCATGAAGCGATTGACCTTTTTTTTTTTTTGCAGGCTATCGGCGACGTTGTTCACAATCTGCGTAAGCCTAAGTTTCGGGCCTTTAATGGAAATGCGAAAAAGCTTCATGGTGAGTTATATCCATGTCAATCTGGGCACTCATGACATGAAGTCAGAGTTCGCGTGCGGTGCTGTTGAGACTATGAGAGCAATTGCCCGCGACATGGAAGTTGTCGAAGACTGGTGGACCCCAATCATCCACGACAATAGGGAGTTGGAAGATGCAATTGACCGCATGAGAACAAGGACGGAATTGGATAACAATGTCAGGGCCCTGTTGAGACGCACCCTGCTACCTCTAAGGCTGTACTGTAACGCGGTGAGTACGAACAATTACGGGAAAGCGGGATACAATCTGACGGATCACCATAGTATGCAAAGTCTGCGGACGAACTGCGTACTGCAGCTCGAGAGATATAGCCGGCACACTTCACGGTGTGCACACCTGCACTAATTACCCCGACTGTTCAGGTTATATCCAAGTATTCATCACTTCCACCCAACAATAGTCTGTATTCGCATACTTGCATTGCCTACACTAATACTATCTTGTATCTGCCTGGCTTCATTCTCCTTACTGGCCATAGCTGGTCTATGTAAACTACCTGGTGATTCGGTAACAATCCGAATTACGTTGGAGCAGGGCCCTGCAGCATAGTGGTGGCAGCACATTTCGTTTCATTACGCCATGCAGGTGACAGAAGCTTGCCGCATTGCTGAGACCTGAAGGCATGGTTCCATAGATTCCTTGAGCACTGGTTCTGCGAGGTGGAGTGTTTATCTGTGCGCTAAGCCCTCGCCACTGGGGAAACTCGCAGCCCGCGGAACCGATCGTGCATTGATTGGTCCCGGACTCCGGATCCCCAGCTACAACTTGCAAATGTCTCTGGCCTTCTCTTCTGGGCCAGCTAGGAACCACTTTCACGTGGGTCATGGTTCAACGAAACTCGAGCTGCGTGTGGTTTGTTCGGCTTACACTGCAAAAAAAAACCCAAACTATGTGACTCGAGAATTTACCACGGATCTGGAGGTTCGTCAGAAATTCTACACCCATCCTTCCTCAGTCCGTCATGGTGCAGAATCTCTCTAGGACCTCTGGATCCTTGCTAGATTCTACTCAGATCCTTGCTCAGGACCTTGCTGGGCTACTCTTAGACGCAATAATAATGTTACATAATTTTATATCTCTCGTATGATCAAGTTGGTTGCGAGAGCGCATCCAAGTCCCCTGCGCAGTTGCACACTGATCGACATGCATGTCAACATCAAGCGTTGTGAATTGCCAACAATTCGAGATCAATGGAGAGCAGACATTGTGCTACCATATTCTGAAAACTGATCAGGAGATATAGAAGAGAAGGACTCTAGTGCCAATCCATGTACTACTTGCTCGGAGTGCACAAGCATGACTGATGGGTACACGCACACGACGAAGACATTGCAAGAATGATTCCAATCTAGAACTAGCTGTGAGTGCACCGACGAACCATGTGTTCCCAAACTCACTGACAGGTCGTTACCACCGGAAGGCGACTTGTTAAACAATGTTCCAAATGTTAGGGGTAATGTGTGCATTCATTTCTTTTTTATGTGTAAGTTTGTTTCATTTGTATCCTGGATATCATCCATAACTCACAGACTGCATGTGGAGATTCATTTGTGCACGACCCAGAATTGTTTCAACCACCTCAACCTCACCATCTCCAAAGTCATCGTCTTCCTGGGTGTGCTTTCGCTTCTGATCAGCATTTTGGTACTCACCTGCCGTTTGCATATACTTCCCGCCTACAGCGCCTTTTCTAGCTGTCAGTGGATAATTTTATCTATGACCACTGCCCTCATACTCAGGACCCAGGACCCAGCGGTCGCTCGCATATGTTTTACGACCTTCACAAGACCATCCACATTCACTGGCTCACCCAGCTCTCCAGCTCTCCAGTCAAAGCACAGCAACATCTTATTCAAGACAATTTGACTGCTTGTTGGTTTCGTTTTCAGCCAATATCAGGTGAGTAACGTTGAATTTTAACACCTTGTTTTCATTATAGAGGACCTGAATATACTTCTCAGCCTTCTATTTGTATTCAGGAAACATTTTTTCGAGCTGCTCGCTAGCAGAAACTGCCACATCGAGACACTGAAGGTTACTCATGATTATGGGTGATAGTACGCACAGAGAGCCTGTGATGTTGGAAATACTGGTTAACGGTGTTTCTCATTACTGGTTCTAGACTTGCTTATTCTATGAGTGTTACTCATATGATGTCATGCTTTATAAGTGACTCCACAATGACATCACTTTACTCCACTTGTTCCATAACATTCTATTCTATTCTTTACTATACTTAGTAGGTAGTATGGTTACTTACCATATGTGTCACCTGGCCTGTGTGCATTCCTACATGTATATAAACTTGGGGATTTCTACCATATCCCCTCAGTGAATTCACTCTCAGTTTTACTGTTCTATGAGCCTCAACAGCTCTACTACAAACTGTTTATTTCTCAAGTTCTATCCAATCATAAAGGCAAGTGCTTGGTCTTAGCTCTTGCCCTTTTCCCCTTTGTCCTTGTTCCTCTGCCAATAGGTTATGAGCCCCGATGTCTAACTGTCAGTGTGCTATTGTCTTATGAGCATTTACTGATCTCTGGTGATGGCCATATCAGCATGCCATTCGATGGCCTAGATGCACTAGGATGGAGCTTAGTTACTTTCATTGTTTCGCTTCTTGCAGCTTTTTATCAAACCATTTTCTACCTATCACTTGGAGGATATGGATCTTTTAGGGAGTTGTATGTGGCCTCAGTCACTTTCTGGGTTGCTGCTCTAGCTGGACCTATCTGGTGTGATCTTTACCTTTATTGGGTAAGAGTGTGCATCACTGCTGCCATTGGAGCAGATCTTTGCCTCATCTGTGATGGTCTTTGCCCTCCTATGGTTGAGGCTCTGCCTCCCAATTATCTCTTCCATGCTATTCCTGATCATGATGATGAAGCCGACCTCGATCCCATTCCACCATACATGGTTGAAGGAGGTGCCAATCTGCCTCCACCTCACTGTGAACCAACTCCTCCTCTGGAGCTCATGTTGGCATTAGGTGACACTCTCGCTCAGGCTAATGCCTTGATTGCTGAGGTCAATCTTGCTGTCAACAATGACATTGCTGAGTTCAATTTACTTTAAAGAATGGAATCTTATGTGCTTCTTTCTTTCAGCATGTCTCTTGTTATCACAAAGTGTACCGAAATCACTGCCACTCACACATGTGACGGCATGTATCAGGGAAATAAGTGGAGAGAGGAGTATGTGAAGAAAGTTGTGGAATATATGGAGGCATTATATGTTAGAGAGTGTTCCAACTGGAGATATGCAGTCCCTAGTAGCAGGAGTTTCTTTTTGTGCCTGCAACCTTTGCTAGCCCATGTCCCTCTCTCCCAGATTGAGGTGACTTGGGATGGCTTCCCAACTTATCCAGGCCTCAACATGCTGTTCAAACTTCCTGGAGTCCATACTGCATTCCATGGCTACCTTACCGACTTCACCCCCAAAATCTCCTTCCTTTCCTTGCCTCATGCCATCGCTAACTTCAATGGTTGTGACCTTCCTAGTCTAACCTATGAAGATCCTGCCCTCTGGACTGTTCCAGCCTCCACAATTACTCATGACACATTTGTCTACCTCTACTACAACTGCCACCCTCTCTATGTCTCAGGGAACCCCTTCAGGGAGCTTGTCCCTCCTCTCAGGGTTTGGCATGAGTATTTGGAAGGCCATTACAGAGGGCTTTGGCGAGAAGGAATCACTGATGTTGACTCTATCCCACTCTACTTCCACAAACGTTGACCCAGTGGTCATCTCTTCAACCTCCAACTATTGGAGTTCATCAATGCCTTTAAGGCATGTGGAGATTTGGATGAAACCAGAACTGGTTACGACAAGACTTGAGGTACTATTTGGTACCTTGACTCTACCAGTTACAGAAGATTTGTTTACTGGCCAGGAACAAATGCAGTTCTGGCTGATCTTGAATGTGCAATGGCCTGTGACACTGGGTCATCTTACATCAAACCCAGATGTTGTGGACTACTTGCCAACACTCTTGCAAGGTCTCGCACAGCTGCTGAAACTCACCGCCTGCTATCCTCTCCCCAGTACCATGGACGTACTGTATGCATCTGCTGGCCAGTTCCTAGAGTATCCTGATGGATCTCTCAACCCTGCTCTAGATAGTTCCTATAATCGTTTCAAAATTTTAACTTCTAGAGAATACAGTAATCACATTTATGGCTGGTTCCCTTTTCCATATTCTTGTCAGCCTGAATGGTTAGGATTTTCAAACCCCCATGGACTTCATGAAATGGGGTGGTCGTTTCTTTCCTACCATTACTTCCCTGACTTGTGCTTTGATTTTCTCAAGTACAATGTTCAGTGGAATTCTCACATCGCTGATTGGCATTATGCTGAGAAAGGCATGGAACCAGAGCCAAAAATAAAATACTGATCACCATGGAAAC